ACGTTGCCATACGACGCCGACTGAATCATCATCGTGTCTCGCGTGTCTATATGACTACAGCTGAGATTGAGAGAGAAAGAGAGAGAGATGCATTTTATGCGCGCGCGAGAGCAAACAGACATAAAACTGGGACATTACGCAAAACACGTCGGCTGCAATTGCTGCGCGCGGAGACGCAGCTCGATACGTACGTACATACACGTATGTGTGCATCAATATTATTGCGCGAGAAAGAAGAGATTCGCGCGGCTGCAGGATCGAAAAAAAGTCAATTATCCCAAATTGCGATACACATGCATCGGTACACATACAGAAGTTCTAGATTTCATATTTTTGTTCATCGCCGCGGACAAAAGAAGATAGGCCTATATGTACGAAGGCAGATCGGAGCGCGGCATAGGACGAAGATAATTCTACGATCAATTATTCATGAGATGAAAATACATTGGAAATAATACAGCGCGCGGGGGCCGTTACATCAAAGGCTCTCGCGCGGGCGCGCGATTCGCAGCGAGTCTCGCTGAGTGCAGAACAGTCGCTCGCTCGCGCGCGTGTGCCTTTCATTAAAAGTGAAAATTTCGCCTCAATTGTTTCTCTCTTTCTCTTTCTCTCTCTCTATGTGTATATAAGCATAAGCGCAATGGTGATGTATTTAGCCCGGAGTGCTTTGGACGTCATTTTTTTCAAGTGAAAAGAGAGAGAGAGAGAGACTCAACGCGAGTTTTCGTGACGATAGATTGCTTTAATAAGATAATCGACTCTTGTGTGTATGTGCATGTGTACTGCATGTATGTGTGTGTGCACTTCTTGCCAATGAATTGCCTGCTGAACTCTTCGCGCATTATATATACCACAGCCGATCTTTTCACCGACGAGCCGAACGCGTGTGTGTCATTGATTTTTTTTCTCTCTCTCTTTCTCTCCCAGTTGAACGCGTTCAATCCATACGTTGTGTTTTTCGGTCTTTGCGCGCACTGCTCGCCGAAAGAAAGAAGTATAGAGGAGACAGAGACAGAAAGCCCAAGGAAACGTGCGCGCAAATAAAACGGACGATGTTTCATTGCTGCGTGGAATACATTAGGATTAACGTGGAGAGAATTAAAGTACCGAATAATGCTTACTTATACGTATTATCGAACGCGAAACGATATATGCAACGTGCAATCCTTCGGGGAACGAGGCAACGCACACACAAAAAAAAGAGAGAGACAGAGAAAAAAAGAGGCAGAAACGGAGAAAAAGAAAAGGACAACACACACACACAACGAATCGACGACTTTTGAGCGAGAATATATAAGAAAAAAATCTCACGTAAAAAGCGTATTTGTATATACGCGCGCGCGCGCGCGAGCGAGCACAAAGTGACATTTTTCGCATATAATTTTGGGGAACGATCCTATAGTATATGTGAGTGTATATGCTCGAGCCGAAAGAAAAGAGAGAAGCGAAAAAATGCGTCACAATGAGAAAAAACAATATTCGTGGTGTGTAGCAGCAGCAGCTCCCGCAGACGCACTATCGACGTGTTATTATTCATAATATGGAGAAAAAGACACTAATGTAAGCTGGTGCATAGTTGAAAACCGGCAAAAAAATAACAAAAGAAAGAGAGAAGCGTGAATCGTCCGCGTAGCGGCGTTGAAAGTGTAAACTCGCCTTCGAAGAATTGCGCAATAATTTTCAAAAACAACGGATACATCGAAAAGTCGTAAGTCACGCGCGCGCATATAATGCGTTAACAACTACTACAAGTTGGCGTCCTTATATATTCTTGTATTGCTTCTGCTTCTTTTTTTTCTTTATCATAAAACTTTCTCGCGACAAAAAGCATAATACTAATGACTATTCGAAAGAATAATACCATCGATCAACGGCGCGGAGCTCTCAGCGCAAAACAAAGCTTATTCTATTGGGCTTCTCCTATATACACACATAATATCGAAGTGTCATAATAAATTATGCACGTGTTTGGTATCGAGCGCGAATTTTTCGTAAACACGGAACCGAGGTTTTCGATCGAAAAACGCGTATTTAGTATAATATAGCTGTAGACGGATGGACGGACGCGCGCCACACGACAGAGAGAGAGAGAGAGTGAGACGCTCGGCGATTAATTTAACGAGTCTACGTCTATACAAGAGGGGCTCTTCCTATTATGATGTTGTATTTTATGCGTGTAAAAAACATTTAAGATATCCGGTCTGTTCCATCATCGCGGGCATAAGTCACCGTAACGACCTCTGCCGCGACGTTTTTTTTTGCTTGCTTGCTTGCTTGCTCGAACGCGCTTCGCACTTTCGAGCACTTCCGATCGTAGAAAAATTAATCGAAGGTTCGATTTCGCTCTCAACCTTGGGTCGCGCTCGCTCGATTTGCGGGCGATTGCGAGTGCGTCTGCGACGACGACTGTCTGTCTGTCTGTTTGTACACACACGTAATTGTTACATCGCGCGCGGGGAAAAGAAAGAGAGCGCGAGAAGTAATCTGGTCACGGCTACACACCTTGCACAGGTATAGCGCACGTCGCCTCCTCCGCTTTTTTATAGTATAAAATGTGACATGTGCAAACAAACGGCGCGCGAAGCCAGTCCGAGGTCCCTCGCTGCTTATTAGGAAGTTAACGAGAGCTGCGAGGCGAGTTCGCAGCTTTTTTTTCGTTGTTTTCTTCGCGCTCGACCTCGCCATTGCAAATCGTTTTCGGATGAGCTTCGATCGCAAGGGATAAAAGTACAGATTGTTTTTGTTTTTGTTTTGTCACGAAAAACGATTACATAAAGAAATAACAGTATCGTCGATATTTTTGTTCAAAAACTCCAAGTCGAGATGTATTTCACGCGTAATGTTTGCATATATTTGTAGCCAGCTCGTGTTTATGTACCTCTCGAGAGAAAGAGAGTGAAAGTTTTTTTTATTTGTCATGTACGTATAGAGCTGAGCGTGATAAGAAAATGCGGATCGATTTGTTAGGCCAATTGTATAATCCCTTATGTACATATAGGAGCAGGAGCAGCAGCAGCAGCTCCTCCAGATCTGGAGCTTTTATATTGAACGAGATAAGTCGTTTTCTTTATAACGCGGGAGGTCCGAGGCATCGCGTCTCTCTCGTCTCTCGCCCGCGCGTACATACATATAAAACCCGATAAAGGATTATTTGTCAATGTCGATTTATATATGCACTGCAACGTTGTAGCGCATACGCGTATACGCACGCACGTACGTAAAAATAAGCAGTATGTACAACCAATCGCACCACCTGCGTTGATCGATCGCGCATTTAGCAAATAAACAATCCAAAAATGTTGTAAAATTTTTCTGCCCCTCGTACGCGCACTTGTACTTATTCGATGCTGGTATATAGGGGGGTCCGAGGGTGAAGGATGTGCGAGACGAGCTGCTCACTCGAGAGAGCAAGACGCGTAATTGATGATTGCTGCGGTTCGAGGAGCGATTCGTCGATTCATCGCCAACGAGAGAGAAAGATTAGTCGCAGATATACTACACACGCATTATAAGCTCGGGAAAAAGGAAGGCGATTAAAATCGATAACGAGGCTTGCATTACGTGTTGGAGTAAATATAAATACAAGTATAAACGCAAAATGTATATTGCCGCGTGCAGTATCAAAACGATAACAACAATCGTAATACACTCCAAGTCGAGCTTTTTTTCCTCGCAGTCTGGGCAAAAATTAATCTCTCGCGCGCGCGGCTTATTACTGTACATGTGGAAAGAGAGAGAGAGAGAGAAAGAGAGAGAGAGAGAGATCGCCAATAAACGACAACACAATGTTATAACGATATGAAATATACAGAAAATCGTGCAACATTTGATACGTCAAACAGCAGCAACGCCTTGCGATAGACGCGCGCACACGCTTCTATTTACAAAGACCTTTACGATCTTTTAGACATTCTTCTTTATTCTAAACACACCCACTTATCGAAAAGACTTTTGCCAAGAGGCTCGATACTTTTTCTCTCTCTCAATAATATTTCGCAAGAAACCAATGCAAACGTGTGTGTGTGTGTGTGTTCGAGAGGATCACCGTCGACCTCTCGGATTGCAAATTTATAAATCATCCTAACGCTTTTCTGAGTATACAAGTTGGTCGATGAGAAAGAAAGAGAGGAACGAGAGAGGCCCTAGATTTCGATGCAGGTGTCACCTATACACACATGCACACACATTATAATACCCGACCCATGCACTACTCTCGAAGCTCATGGCGCAGCGAACGAAAAAGATAAGAGTGCATAAATGCAGTATATACAAAAGCGTGCGCTTATTTATGTAGGGTTAAAAAAAGTTCAGTATTTAGGCGTATAAACATGGACACACACAAACTCGCATTCACACATGCACACGGGCGGAGGCGAGACGTGCACCTATATTTAGGTTGATAAGCCACGATAGATAGCGAGCGTATAATACACATGCAGGCTTGTTGTTTACACCCGCGGCGTGTGTACTGTGTACCCGAGTAGTATAAAACTATAGCAGAATATCGATGGTATACCTGTAACATATACCTTGGCTTTTTGACTAAAATGTGTTTGTTATTTCGGAGCTTGCTGGATGTATAGAATATCCATAGTCGCAATAATGGATGGATTAGGTGTCTAATATGAACTAGAGTACAGTATCGTGAGTCAATCGTGCGTACAGATATCAATGTCGCCGGGTGTGTGTTATGAACTCTCGCTCGGCGCACGATATCGATCATGTTTCCAACGCAAAAAAAAGAAGCAATCCTGCGATCCGACTGTTTCGAATCAGAGATAAATGTCATTCATCGAGGTGTACGATGCACACGTGTGTCGCACGATCGTAAGCTATCGCGAAAATAAGCGCGTGAAGCATTGGACGAGCTCGAGAGAGTGACACTTGTTGCGCTCGCGCACGTGAGCGTACGAACGGAGCAATTTATGATGTAGGTAAACTCGCGCGCAGCAACGGACTGCACGCCGATAAAAATTTGAAAAAGAGAAGCCGAGCTTTACCTTAGTTTCGTTCGAATCGACGTTGTTGCTCGCTGATGTTACTTGTGCAACCTTGGCCGAACCTCCGCGAAATAAACCAACTTGATTCGATGATCATACACTCGAATTGCACCGATCCTTGCTGCATTCGAGAACACAAAAACGTACATCAACGAAGCACGCACAGCTTCGACAACGATCGTGTCCTCCGCGAAGGCACAGAATTTTCAAAAAATCCGAGATAATTCACCGAAACGAAGAGAGCGTCGATCCGCCCAACCGTTTCGATAAAGGAACTATCAACTTTGCCGAGAATACAAACTATTCGCAACGGTGCAAAAATGTTAACTGTCACACAACATGTGCTGCTGAGCCAACAACTTTCAACGCTCCCAGTCTCTGTTGTTATATTACGGAGAGCGCAGAGATGCGTTCGGCTAAGGCGATTCGAAGAAACTGATCCCTAAGCGGTTGGTCGGCTGTGATACCGCAGCGCAGTCCGCGAATATACCAACTCTCCTACATACACGCCTTCTCTCTCTCTTTTTCAATCTAGCCTGACACTGCTGCGCGTACATACACAGTGCAGGCAGGCAGGCAGCAGTACACAGGCACTATCCAGTCACCAGTGACTGTCTGCAAGAAGTTGGCGCTCGTGCGCACGCGCGCGACCTTCCTTCCTCCTCCTTTTTGCCATTTCAAAAATTGTCTCTACACGCACTTTATACTTGTGCCTTATATACCGGAGACATTATTATTCCTCTCGTCATACCAGTCACCTGCGTAACTTTACCTATATATAATATGCGTGAGTTTACGCACACATTCTTTACCCGCGAGTTTTCATCACAAACAGTTTTGTTGCTGCTGCTGCTGTAGCAGCTACGAAATATCATATTATGTATTTACTTAGGCGCGAGCGAGCGGGATGTGTCCATAAAAACGATTGCGGATCGATGTAGTGTCTGCTTCTGCAGCGAGGCTCATTTTATAAGATCGAACGTGCGTGTGGCTACCATCACCCACACGCCGCGTGCATTGCAATGCATAGCTCGCTCGCGCATGCACACACACACACACACACACATTGACTATGAACTCTGTACCAAATATAATAATGCAGATTGCCAAGGTGCACATGATCGCCAGATGCGTGGGATATGGTACGTAAGTATATGCACTGCGGTTATTGCTACTTTCAGCGCGCGTTTAGTCACGCAAAATTGGAGCTTGAAACTACGAAGCTAATAGGACCTTTTTTTTTAAAGAGATTTTTGCGTTCGTCAACCATTGTTATTTCAAATAAGAGTTTTTCTTAATCATCATTCTTACCAAATAGTGAACATATGATTCATTTTGAATGTTATTCAAATCATACCACGGTGCAATTGGGGGTCGGCGGCATATCGACAGGGAGTAGGTACTCGAGAAATATTATCAATATTTCAAATCCTGTAATAATTGTGAGTAATGGATTTATCAGATTCAAGAAAAAAACTAATTAAAGATTGATATACTTTATTATTCATTGAGATATTAAAAAAATATTTACATAAAAGATTTTCTAAAATTACTTGGCGTACACGTGTAACAGCAGACCACGTCCTCCCTACTTTCCGGACAAATTTAAAGGTTTGTCTTCTTAGATCTTCGGGGTTTTTTTCGATTATGCACTCCCTTTGTGTGCCTATTGAGATGACCATTTGATGCAAATGATTTGTGACAAATATCGCACTCAAAGGGTTTCAAACCCATGTGTACTCGATTTATGTGCAGTTTGAGGTAACCATTCACTCCAAATGATTGATGACAAATTTCACATTTAAAGGATTTGCTACCATTGTGTACTGTATCTACGTGTGTTTTGAGGTGGCTATTGGTTGCAAATGATTTGTGACAAGTGTCACATTTGAAGGGTTTGATACGATCATGTACCGAGTTTATGTGCCGTTTGAGGTGGCACTTGGATGAAAATGATTTCGTACATATCTCACATTTGAAGGGCTTCTTACGATCGTGAACCGCATCTTTGTGTCTTTTGAGTTTGGTTTGTTTCAAAAATGATTTGTGACAAATCTCGCGCTCAAAGAGTTGGCTTCGATCATGTACTGCTAATGTGTGATATTCGAATTGAGATTTTCGTTCAAATTTTTTGTGACAAATCTCACATTCGCTGGGTTCACTATGAACGTGTATTGAAATTATGTGTTTTTTCAGAGTTTGCTTACGACCATATGATTTATGACAAATGTCACATTCGAAGGGTTTGATACGATCATGTACATCTTCTACATGACGTTTAAGCTCGCTTGGCCAAAGAAAAGATTTACCACACACGTTACATTTAAAGGGTTTGCTGCGATTATGAACTGAATTTAAGTGATCTTTGAGAGTACCTATGCGATTATATGATTTGTGACAAATTTCACATTCAAAGGATTTATTACAAAGATGTACTGTACTTATATGATATTTGAGGGAATCTTTGTATCCAAATGATTTGTGACAAATCTCACATTCGAAGGGTTTGTTACCAAAGTGCACTACACTGACGTGAGTATTTAAATCATTCTGTACCCAAAATGATGTGGGACACAGCTCACATTCAAAAGGTTTGCTCCTATCATGTATTCTGATGATGTGCATTTTCAAGGAATTTTTTTCTCCATATGATTTGTGACAAATGTCACATTCAAAGGGTTTGCTACGAACATGTACTAAATTTACATGAGATTTGAGTTTGTTTTTTTTCCAAATGATTTGTGACAAATCTCACATTCAAAGGGTTTTATGCGATCGTGCACTACTTTTATGTGTTTGCTGAGATTACTCTTGTATGAAAATGATTTATGGCAAATATCACACTCAAAAACTTTGCCCCGAATGTGTATTGAAATTATATGTCTTTTGAGGGATTGCTTAAGGCTGCATGTACTATGGCAAATATCGCATTCAAAAGGTCTAATGCTTTTATATATCGTACTGTTAACTGCTTTTCCACTTGCTTTTCCTCTATAATTTTTTTGGTTCAAATTATTCTTATGCAAAAATTTAATTTGATTACTGTTTTTTACTATTTTCACCTCCCTGGATTTATCAAGCTTAGACTGAAACTTTTCCGGAAATTGACAGTTATTACTGTAATTGAATTCTTTTCTTATCAAAATCACAAACCTTTTACCATCCAAGTAATTTTTCTGGATAGAATTTTCTATGCTTTCAACATCTTGACAACTTTGATCCTCGATTTTGCAGACGTTTCTTGATAAAGGCTTCACTTCAGGCTTAAAATCACTGCACTCAAAATCTATGAAAATTTCTTCAGTCATATGATTGATCTGAGTTTCATTTTCTATTTTCATGTTAGATAAGTCACTTTGATGTTCAGTTTTGGCTGGTGATAGATTGTTCGGCTCAGGCTTAACTTCAGTGCACTCAAAATTTATAAATACATTTCCATCCATGTTATTTATTGGATTTTCATTTTCTACTTTCAGAACAGGCTGAAAACTTTCAATCTCAGTTTGGCAGATAGTTCTTGATAAAGGCGAATTATCTTCTGGCTCTTTCTTTACCCTGAAAAATAATTCAATTTTAAAAATAATTCAATTTTATGGAAACGATCATTTCAAAAAATATCATGTCATGAAAAAAATAAATACCTAATTGTGTTTTCCATCGCTTGCATAATTATATGTATTTACTGTGGATTTTGACGATTTACACCAAAAAAATATTTGAGGTTAAATGCCACGTGCAGCCAACAGTTATCTCTATAAATAGTATGCAGTACAAGTGTTCACCTTTGAATTTGATCAGCGACTGAACGCACTAGTTGTATATTATTGAGATGATCCAATAATTTTGATAGTTAGATGTGGCGATACTTTCACTTCCCCCACTACTGTAGACTGTCCATCCGTACCGTACCTGTACCGCGTCAGAGCTCTCAGAAAGAACACCAATTGTGAGCGCGTAATTCAAATTAGTGTAAAGATGTAATTTAAAAATTTTGTTTGAATAAAAATTTTTTTTAAATAATTTTTTTATAATTTTTTTTATACTAGGCTATAAAAATGATTATTAAATTAAAAATATAATTGTTTACACAATATTAGAGTGGTAATCATATTTATTATAATAAATATAAAAATTTTTATAGATATTTTAAATAACATCTTTACACATTGATTTTCGTGCTCACTGTAGGTGCTATTTTTGAGAGCAATGGTTAACTGTCATACCCAGTAATGTATCGCTATGTATATGTATGTATGTATATGCATGCACTTTCATGGTATTAAATCTACACCATAATTGTAATAAAAAGTTTTCAGTACAAAGTCAAGGAGCTTACTCGTAAAAATGTAATTACTCCTATTTTTTTATGTATAGAATGTTCAACATAAGACATTATCCTATTTGTTACTTTAACTACGAATATGCTACGAATCGCTACGTGTTTCGTCGCAAATTAAAACTTATAACTATTCTCTTCTTCTGTTACAATTATTGAGCAAATATTTCGAAAAACCATTTCAATCCCGTGGAAAAACTGAAAAATAGCTGAAAAATTGAAGAAAAAAAAACAGTCTAATTTTCAAGATGTAGAATGATTGTACGGACCAACTAAGAGGCCAACGAAGAAGTGAAGTCAATAATTAAATTATTTATTTTAAAATTAAAAACTTGAAGATTACATTCAAAGCTGTCTAAATTGACTAGCAGATTTTGGAAAAAAATTGTATAATTAATCATTTTTAATTAATAAGTGACCGGTAATAATGTCTTAGAAATAATCACTTTGCGCCAATATCCGGATACTTTTTAATTCAATATATTTCCATTGATTTATTTAAAAACCACTTTGTGAAACGAAAATGACGTTTTTTGAATAATAATCAATTCGTCTGTACGATTTAAATCGTTTACATACCAGCCGGCCCGAAAGTAACATTTCGCAGCCGCTCCGCTAAACGGGATATTGCTATTTCGGGCCACGGGGTATGTAAAATCGCATACTGGCCCGGGAAAAAAGAAAGCCTCGGCTTCGCCTCGGTCGCTTATTTCACGCGCCCTGGGACTTTTCTATTTTTTCTGGCCTAGGGCAGCAATATACTATTTTCAGGCCCTTTTCTTATCGGCAATCGGCAGTAAATATCCTTCGACAACCTGACGACTCCGAAAACCAAGATAGAGAGTAGCCTTAACGTAGGCAAATCGTCGTGCTCGGCTAAAATCGAGCGAGACGAGAAACATGCCGTCAAGGGGACAGCGTTTCGTTCTCGCTCCATCTCTCTTCAATACCATCTCCATATTCGCAATATATAGAACAGGGCAGGCCGTCTGTGTGTGTGTGTGTGTGCTGCCGCACAGCTGAGAGCACATGCCCGGCGAATCTCAGTCGTGTCTCCAAACTCGCGCACGTATCACCGTTTCGGCGTCGAAAATTACATCAGAAACGAAAACTTTTCCATCGAACGGAGACCCATCGAGTCGAGACGAGACGGTTCGATTCCAGGGCGAAGAAGCTTCTGTACGTTAAATAATAATTCCTCTTCGACTCGAGAGCCGAGGCATCATGCACAAAAACGTGGAAAATGAACTCATCAGGCCGGACGTACCGAGTCGCTGCACTTGGGTACCAAACGCCCTGGGCACGCCGCACACAATGCGCCGCAAGTAAGACTAGTTTTTTTTTCTTTCTCTTCTCTCTCGTTTCTACCAATATGTGCCCATCGCGCGCCCTCGCGCGAATAACTATGAAATTGCCTCGGAGCTTTTTATGCCTATTGTAAAATAATTGCGGATTCGACCGGTTTCTTTATGATACACTTGGGAGAGGATAAAAAAAGTGATCGTTTCAATTATCGCGTGAGGTTTTTTTCTCTCTCTCTCTCTCTCGATCCGTGTGCGCTGTCAGAGATGTTTGTTTAGCCGTAATCTATTCAATGAATTAATCTTCATTCTTATTTCCTCGCTAAACTTGCAATGGCGATTCCGCAATAAGGCGATTTGATTATTGTATAGCGAGGGAACCGAATGTAAACATCGACGCTCGATAAGGCACACCACGTGCATCTCGATGCACTTCGCGTGTGCACATAATATCGTGTATTTTTAACCTCGGACAATTTTTAATTAAAAGAGCATCGAGGGAGGGAAAAAAATTTTTTTCAGCAAAAACAAATAGCAGTAGAATGGCATTGGCAAGTATACACACATAGCTGCTACGACTGCTGCGAAGAGGATGATATATTATATACGCTTGCGCGCGGGCCCCGGCTTCACTCTCGGGGATATATAACTCGTTATTTCACAACGATGCCGCGTATCTCAGAAATTCTGCGTTAACGATCAATGGTATATTATATACGCCGAGGCAGTAGAGAGAGAGAGAGAGAGAGAGGGAGACAGCCGAGATGAATTTAAATTTAGGAACGCGCGCGTCGTGCGCGGCAAAAACACACTTTTAAAATAGCGAACACGTGTGCAAGCACGATGCGGTCTCATGGATTGCTTATGATATAAATGTGTAATTTTTTATTTCATTGTCTACAGACAGGCGGACCGGATGAAAGCTATGCCAAACATCCTTCACAGTATAGGTCAAACACCTCTGGTCAAGCTCAATAGCATTACCAAGTATTATGGTATCAAGTGCGAAGTCTGTAAGTTGAAGATTATCGACGTTGTTTCGAATAAATAACTGAATTTTCACGTGGTATACAGATCGATTTTTTGGTCGATTTTCACATCGAATTCCAAGTCAAATGCTACTTAGATTTTAAGTCGGTGTCAGACAAATTTTTACGTGGAAGCCGATTTCTAAATATAAATCGAGTTATTTATTTTAAACGAGGAATTGATCGCAATTACTCGTTAAAATCCATGGACGCCCGCTTCACATTCGAATTTCCTCTTAATTTTCAGTGGCCAAGTGCGAGTTCATGAATCCCGGTGGCTCGGTCAAGGACCGAATCGGCTACCGCATGGTGCAGGACGCCGAGACCAGGGGCCTGCTCAAGCCCGGCTGCACCATCATCGAGCCGACGAGCGGCAACACGGGCATCGGCCTGGCCATGGCCGCCGCCGTCAAGGGCTACCGCTGCATCATCGTCATGCCCCAGAAGATGTCCAACGAGAAGGTGTACACGCTGCAGGCCCTGGGCGCCGAGATCGTGCGCACACCCACCGAGGCCGCCTGGAACAGCTACGAGGGCCACATCGCCACCTCCCAGCGGCTCCAGAAGAAGATCCCCAACAGCGTGATCCTGGACCAGTACACGAATCCGGGCAATCCGTTGGCCCACTTCGATCAGACGGGGGAGGAGATCTGGGAGCAGTGCGACGGCAAGATCGACTACCTGGTGGCCGGGGCTGGAACCGGTGGCACCATCACCGGCATCGGTCGCAAGATCAAGGAGCTGTCGCCCAACACGGTGGTCGTCGGCGTCGACCCGGAGGGCAGCATACTCGCCGAGCCGGCGGAACTCAACCAATCGGACAATCCCTACGACGTCGAGGGAATCGGCTACGATTTTATCCCGACCGTGCTGGATCGATCCATCATCGACAGATGGATCAAGACCAAGGATCTGGAGTCCTTCCACGCCGCGAGAAAGCTCATCAGGCAGGAAGGAATGCTGTGCGGTGGAAGCAGCGGATCGGCCCTGGCGGCTGCCTTGAAGGTGGCCAAGGACCTGCCCGAGGACAAACGAGTCGTCGTTGTGCTGCCCGACGGAATCCGTAATTACTTGACCAAGTTCGTCTCCGACTCCTGGATGGAATCGAGGGGTTACTTGGTATGTTTATTTTCTCGTACATTGAAAGGATCGTGCACTATCGAATAGCGGTAAAATTATAATTTATGCGATTATTTATAGGACACTCCACCAGCTACTAAAAAGAACGAATGGTGGTGGAATTTGACCGTGAGGGCTCTGCTGGTCGAAGTTACCAAGCCTCTCCACTATCCCATAGAACTCCCAACTACTTGTAGAAGAGTCTGCGACTTTCTTCGCATACGCAAATTGGCACAGACCGCCATAATCAACGAGGAAGGCAAGCTCAGAGGTATCGCCGTTCTCAACGATGTCCAGAACGCCCTCATTGCTGGCGATGTGCAGCCGTACGAGGACATCGACAAAGTTCTCACCAAGCAGTACAGAACAGTTACGCTGACGATGCCGCTCGGCAAATTGAGTCGAATGCTGAAAACGGAGCATTACGCGGCTGTCGTGGACGAAGAGACGAAAAAGTTTTTGGGAATTGTGACGCCGAACGAACTTTACAAAATGACCACACCGGATTATTCAACAAGTACTGAACTTGACGCTTGAATTTTTTAATTGTGTATGAATTTTAATATGACGAATGATGATAGAATATTACACGTTTGTAAAATAAGACTTAAATTTTAATAAAGCATACTTTGTTTTAATAATAAATATGATTCATTTTATTCGTCTGTCGTGCAATTGATAGCATTCATTTAACGTGACTAGACCCCGTTTACATCAAGGGATATAACATCATGATTCCGGAAAGACATATTTTCTGTGCTCAGCAGCAATTACAAACATAATATATGTAATATATTTCGAGCTCTTCGATGGACACATTCCATTAAAATATTCAGTTTCAAAGTCCAACAAAACATTACATCAACATACCAAACATCATTGTACGCTTATATCATAGTAATTACCTCGACTTAAAAGTCTGTGAAATTAAACCAATGTTCGTGTGCAATAAGGAAAGTCAAGAGTTCCTTGTGTGGAGCGTAAAAAATGAATTTGCTTAATTCCCGAACATTAGATTTATTTGCGGACCCTTAAATCTAGCTAAGAATAAGAGATTACTAATTATTTACAATATTGAAAAGCTGTATTGAATTAGAGTTATGTCAAGGGGGAAAAAGTATAAAATTCAACTGGGTTGTACATGAAAAAGTAGAAAAACATGTAAGATACAACTGAATTTGTTTGAGTAACTTGTTTATGTAAAAACTAATAAACAAATGATTAGTGATATACTGGCGCATCGACTATACTAATGTAATTATTATAATACACTTTACACTTACAATCTAAATCTCTGAAAAGCATATTTACAGTAAAACAGTATAAAAACAACAACTCAAACCATTTTTCAATCTAAATATCAAGGAAATAAAATTATTCCTTATAAAGAGGAAGTTTAGCAGCTTATAAATTGCTTATGTGCAGTTTACTCAACAATAAGTTTACGTGAAATTTAAATTACTATTTTCTAAAATTGAATTTAGTTTTTAACTCTCTTTCACAATGTTATCTTCACTTTCCTTTTCAATTTGACTTTCTTTATCTTTACTTGTATTTTCCTGTTTTTCACTAAAATCTTCATTTTCTTTTCTATTTTGACTACTTTCCTCTTTATTTTCCACTCCATTTTCACTACTTTCATCGTCTTTTTTCTTTTCATTTTGGATACTTTCATCATTATTTTCTACTTCATTTTGATCAGTAATATCTTCATTTTTCTTTTCATTTTTGTTTTTTTTACCTTCATTTTCTTTTTTATTTTGGTTACTGTCATCTTCATTTTCTGAAGGACCACTACTTTCTATTGTTCGTCTGCGTTTACATACAACCTTTTTTTTACCACGTACAGGCTTTTTACGTTTTTTATCTGTAATAGTTATGCGAGACCCATCAGAATTTTCATCTGATTTGTTGTCATTTGCTTCACTATCTTTAACAGATCCATTTGCCTGATCTATACAATCTCGTACCATAACTGAAATGTTTTAATATTTTAATGAAATATATCTGTAATAGTTTAACGATTATTTTATAACAAAGACACTTACCACATCTTTTGCGTTTTCTCTTCTGAGCCTCTTCATTGTCCTTTTTCATCTTGAGTTTCTCTAATTCTTTCTTCTGAGAATTGTCAATTTCTTCTATAATTATGAATAAATTATTTAGTTTTTAATTAATTAAGGTTATTTTGATAAAATTAGAGTAAAATAAAACTTAATCCTTACCAAATGCTTCTTTTAATAGATCAGGTTCAAATATTTGATACTCTAAGGCTTTTTCCACTAGCTCTGGATTCTCTTTTAGTTCTTTTTTGTATTTTAATTTCAATTCAATTCTTTTTCTATCAGGAAATACATCTTTCATCAATGAAAAATCAGTTCCATAGGTACTTAGAGCTTTATAAAATTTTATGGTGGCCCACTTATTCCAATCTTTGCTTTTGGAACGTCTTTTATAAAAACCTCCAGTAGGTTCTTCATCTTCAATTATTTCCATATTTTCTATATCCAAAAGTTTATTGGCAACTAAACTCTCTTGATCGATCATCATTTGACCATCGGGTCCCAATTTTATTTGAGGACCAAGAGCTCGTGGTTCTTCATCTTGAACACTATCACTTTCAGAGATGGCTCTAAAATAAAATATTGATTATGATTTTTCAAAATTTACATTGCTGATAGAACAAAAAAATTTACTACATTTAATTTAAAAACTACTTACGAACAAACAGATGTTGTTCTTGCAGTTCGGTTAGTTGTTGGCTTAGATGTCATTGGATCTCCTTTAGGGTTATAATAAATTAAATCTAACATCTTTAGTTTTCCTTTGTCATGAGTTATGTCTGATTTTTTTTGCATAAACTCTTTTCTTGAGTCTGCAAGTTTTTTGGCAGTTTCTGACAAAGCTGTTCTCTTTTTAGGAGCAACATTGAGCTAGAAAAAAATATATAGGTAATAGATGTTATTATAAAACAATTACATCAAACATAGGTATGTGAAATGCAAGTGATATATAACATTGAAACTCATTTATTCAGAATTTTTTATAATAGTAAAAAAATTGAATAACAATGTTGGCAATATCATTAAACTAACCTTGGAAGGATTATTATTAACAACAGGAGAGCTAGTGATTTCATTATGGCTCTGTGTCGAGCAGACTGATTCACTTCTGGCTCGAGGCGAAAGAGGGGCTCGATGCGGTGAAAGAATGGCTCGTTGAGGTGAGACAGAGGCTCGATGAGGCGAAGGAGCAGATCGATGAGGTGAGAGAGGAGGAATCGACTTCACTGGGGACGACGGAGTAGGGGGTCTCTTGATTTCTTCTTCCGACTCACTAGCACTATTTGCACCGTTGACAACTGCTGGAGGAGGTGTAGGCACGACAGGTGCTACTGCAACACTATTTCTGCGTACCCTGCCAGCATCCAGCCTTGGAGGAGGCTTTGCAAAACGCATTCGACCATTCATTTTTTTAATTGTACCTAAGATGAAAAACTTATGAAATCATTCATTGTTTTTTATAACATGAAACGTTTTGCATGGAGTCAATGACCACGACAGCTGTATGATACCATAAAAAAGTACACAAATTTGATGTTTACCTTTACTGATTGATAAGTAACGATGTTGACACGTATAATCCTAAGCACATGTATGTAGTAACCTCGCTCAAACGATTAACATCAACTAAGATTCACGTTTGAGAGCTCACGAATTCTCTAGGACAAAGAATAGATGCAAGAGAAACCAGTGAGTTCAACACATTGAACAGATGAATATTTTATGACAAGAAAGAAGTCTTAGTTCTATTTATTGTAGCAAGTTGCGGCGACACATACACCCTGGGCCGGTCCGTGTGAGCCAAACTGAATGTATGCCGCTACTGACGTTTTACAACTGAAACTGAAGCGTGATCGAACGTGAAAAAATGATGCAAGGTCCACGAGTCTTGCCGTGACTACAATTGCGCTGTGCGCACTGCGCCTCGTGAAAGTATGCGTCGGCCGTCGCCGTCGACGCGCTCGAGTATTTTGACGTATGCGCACAAGTTTTGGTATCTGTTGTCTGAATGTAAACAAATACGATGCTTAAAATGGGAACATTTTTTTTTCTTTAAAAAATTTATAATATATACTTGATTTTGATCTTCGCATGTAAAATTGTACAATTAAATTTATGAAAATTTTAGTAAAATCCGTACAATACCATTTATATATCAATATAATTATTTGAAACACCCAAAAAACAATGTTTTTATTTTTTTTAGCACGCTTTACAGATAATTTATTCTTTTTCAATTACAAAAAACTATAAGTTTAATAATATAAATTATAATTTTGTGCTAAAATACATACCATATTATTATTCAGCAAACATTTGTTGTTGATTTAGTCAAGCTTGGTCGATAAAGTCATTCGCCGAACATAGACAATTTGCTTGCTTTCTCACTCTGCCAAAATCAAATTGTGATTGAGACTTGTTGGTGTACTCGATTCGCCGGAGCTTTTGCGATTAAGTTTTATTAGTGTTTATTGAGCATTTTCGTTAAAAAATGGTAAGTTGTAACTAAGCTTAAGGTTGACGCATCCCTAGTCAATGGTTTGTTAGATTTTCGCGTTGATTTTTGCACTTTTAGCGAAATTTAGGTTATGTCAGAATTGCAGTGTCATGGAGTGTTTGATTATACATTTGATTTTTAAACAATAATAATTAAATTAAATTATTTAAAAAATATGAATATGTCAATAGTTTCTATCAACTGATTAAATTTTTACCTCTAATGTGATTCTTCTTTATGATCATCTTTGCGAACGAAAAATTATTACAAGTTGTATGTATTTTTGAATGACTTGGATTTGTTTTTTATTTTCTAGGCTCGCAGATATGATACCCGTACCACCATCTTCTCTCCGGAGGGTCGTTTATACCAAGTGGAATATGCTATGGAAGCTATAAGTCATGCTGGTACATGCCTTGGTATTTTGGCAAATGATGGAATTCTGTTGGCAGCAGAAAAAAGGAACACAAACAAACTTCTTGACGAAGTGTTTTTCTCAGAAAAAATTTACAAACTCAATGAAGACGTAGTTTGCTCTGTCGCTGGTATAACATCAGATGCCAATGTTTTGACTAATGAGCTCAGACTTATTGGCCAAAGATATTTACTGCAATATGGAGAAACTATTCCTTGTGAACAGTTAGTATCCTGGCTGTGCGATGTTAAACAAGCTTACACTCAATATGGTGGTAAAAGACCGTTTGGTGTTTCGATTTTGTACATGGGATGGGATCGTCACTATGGATACCAATTATATCAGTCAGATCCAAGTGGAAACTATGGAGGCTGGAAAGCAACTTGCATTGGAAATAATTCAGCAGCTGCTGTTTCTTCTTTAAAGCAAGAATACAAAGAGGGACAAATGACTTTGAAAGATGCAATGGCACTTGCAGTCAAAGTTATGTCCAAGACATTGGATATGAATAAGCTTTCTGCAGATAAATGTATGTATCAAGTAAAATATTTACATTCTTTAAGAAACAGCAACAAATCAGTACAACTAAAATTATATTAAAATTAAAATAATTTTTTACAGTGGAACTGGCAACTCTCACTCGAGTTGATGGTAAAACCAAAACCAGGATATTGCCAGCTAAAGAAGTGGAAGCTTTGATTACTGAATTTGAAAAACAAGAAGCCATTCTAGAAGCTGCTAAGAAAGAAAAGCAAAAGCTTTAAACTAGTTTATGTGGGTTGTTTGTATGAATAAAAATGCGATAATTGAATCATTTTGATCAATAAAGTATTTCACTTTTTTTTATTGTAAGTTAAATAAAATAATATTATATTTGAATATGACGGTTGTTTTTCAAAAAGTTTTTGATGGAAATTAAATTGTACTATCATGGGTTTGAATACAACTGCGATTTTCTTCCCATATTTTTTTTGTATATGAAAAAAAATCATTTTTGATCAGTTAACTAAAAGGAGCCTAATAATGCAATTGATGCATGAACTTCACTTATGATATTTCATATTCAGTACTTTTAGGTAACAAAATAATCAAATGTATCTTAGAAGTAGATGAATTTTTAATTATTTACTTTCTATATGACATCAAATGATAAATTTATTGGTAAGATATATCAGACATTTAATGTCAGCATTTTATTCAGCAGTTACTGAGTAATGTACAAAAAAATACTATATAACACCTAGGTTCCTCTAATTCATCAGTATATAATTTTCATTGCAGTAGTGTTAATCAAAATATTCACATTTTTAACTTCCAAGAAATACAATAATACGATCCAATAAATGAACTTGAATGTTTATTCACAAAAATGAATATTATCATTGATATTAGAGTTTCTGTTATAAGTATTGCAATGCTTCCATTCTACCACAAATTTGAATTGGCTGGAATTTATTATTTCTTGCCGTACTATAAGAGCTCTGTGTGACAGTTGATAACACAATAATATAAAATTATAATTTATACTCAAGCATAGTTTTTAAGATTATTTTATTCCATAAAAAAAAAATCTGAAAGCTCAACTTATTCAATCAGTACCATTACACTTTAACATTGAACAAAAACAAAATATTACATAAGTGTCTTGATACAAAATTATCAAATATATACTTTTATGTACATTATTTCTTTACATTCTCTGCACTTCAACATTAAATTTACAACTTGGTAAAGCAGTTACTTCTGCTTTGACTGTGCATGCGACTCCTAAATTCGCTAAACTTCCTCTCAACAAACCACATGTAAATGCTAATAATCGAGGACTTTCACACAGGTATTGTCTGCTTCCAGCTTTACCAATTTTAGCTAGTAATCGGAATTCATTGTCATGTAACACATAGACACCATGATGATTGGTCCTCAAATTGTCAACTTGTTTATGATAAAGACTATTCCAAAAATCTGTACAGATAAATTTAATAATATCTAACTCATCTTTAAATCTTTGCATTTCTCTTGTCAGCCTTTCAATAATTCGATAACCCACGCTAAATCCCATCCACTCTAGTTGTGATAAGTCTTCCTCCTAAAAAAACATTATTATCAATGTAATTTGAAAAAATATTAATACATCAACTTTCTTATTATTACATTAGATTCCTTTGATTTGCTAACGACATAATTGATTATTTCACCATGCAAATATTCAAAAAGACATTCATCAGCTTCTGCCTTTGCACCAGGTGCTGATTTTCCATCAACAAACTGATGCTTCATTTTCATGAGTTTATTAATTTATTCTTAACCAGGTTAGAATCATCAAAGTCACTTTGAATTATTCAACATTACACGCAAATAAAAATTTCAAATTCACTTAAGAACTTAAAAATGTAACTTTTGAACTTTTGAGACGAAACCTTCTAATACTGAATGTCAAAATAATGTCTGCAAGAAACCATTTGGTAAAGTTTTGATGTGAACAACACCGCATACGATATAACGCAAAAATTAAGGTTTTGCTACAATTGTATAATGCTTCATACGTGTGAATATGTGTTAATCATTGATCAACCTATAATAATTAAAAATTAAATATTTGTAAAAAAAAATTTTCTCCGTGTTTGGTAATAAAAAATTAATATTTTGACAAAAGTAAATTGTTTGTACTAAGATTATTACTATCTATACAATTGTTCTACGATTATCTTCAGTGACGATTTTTTCATTACGAAATAAAATCTAATTTTTTTGTATAATGCCTGGTGACTACTAAAAAAGTTTCATATTTCAAAGAATATTTATTTATTGAAAAAAAAAGAAAAAGAAAGTTTACAACAAAATCACTTGCAGAATCTTTATAAACATACCTATTCTCTTTTTTATCTGATAAAGTTATTTGGAATAAAGTGTATCTAATAAATTTGGAAAATACGAGTTTGATAAATAAATTTAATCGAATACCAATGCGCACGTGGCTTTGGTAACTGTCAAAATTTACGATCCTTTTAACAAATTAATGCGTTACAGTAGCGCAATTGTTGTTTGAGATTCAAACGCGGCAGTGCGCCAACTCGCTGGACGCGTGTACATTAAACGTCAGTTCCACAATGATTTGTTATTGGACTCGACTCGAGATCGAGTCAGGAATTTTGCATTAATTTTCATTTTTATTTTCGAATATCGAAGAATGTTGAGAAAAATCGTCGAAAATCTAACGATTATAATTTTATTGCAGCCGCTATTGTACGCAGGTGATTGAATATCTAATCGATCGAGTCGCAAGCTTGATTGGCAAATGTTTCATCGATATAAAAAAAATTCCATTGCGGAGTTTTTAAAAGTAAATGTTTTATAAATTTCCAGAACTAACTTATGGAATTCACGTGCCGAGTATCGATTATCATCCGTCGTGGAGAAAGTTGAGTCTTGAAAACTGCGGGACCCGTCGATTCAATGGATCCGGCAAAAGCCCAATAGCCGCTATGGGCGAGTATCCTTGGTTCGTCAGACTAGGCTACCTCACGATCATCAAATCGAGCAAATACTCGAGAAAAACTACTCAGCTAAACTTTCGCTGCATCGGCTCGATAATCAGCGACTGGTTCATCCTCACGGCGGCTCACTGCGTCGTCTCTCTACCGTCCAAGTGAGTAAGGTCGATTTCAATTAGGTCTTGATTTTTGTTGTTTTTACCGATTTTTGTCGATCGCCGATCAGCATGAGATTAAACCGTATACGCGTGGGCGATCACAATTTAGTCACTAATCCCGACTGCGAAGGTGCGGAATGCAACGATCCTTACGTCGATCACCAAATAGCCAAGGTCATCGCCCACGAGAAGTTCAACGGACCGGTGAAGTTACAACACGACATTGCACTCGTCATGGTTACCGAACCCATCGAATTCACAGGCGAGTCGAGATTAATTTCAATTCGTCGCTCGATCGAAGACTTTGAAAAACATTGAAAAAATTGCAGAATGGGTACGACCGATTTGTCTACCTCGCGGCTCGATGCTGGGCCGAGATTTTATCCGCGACACGATCGAAGTGAGCGGCTGGGCGGAATACCACAAAAGTACGCTCTATAATCTCGTTTTCATTGACATGCATCAGTTCAATTTTCCAATCATGCGTACGTGCTTTCAGAAAATCGAGAAATGAGCGATAGGTTGCTCAAGGCCGTGGTGTCGATAATCAAGCCAGAGAATTGCAATTACCAGAGAATGAAAATCGACGGAAAAAATCAGTACTGCGTCGGTGGCGGTAAAAATCGTCGCGACGCTTGCCTGGGCGATTCGGGTGGGCCACTGATGAAATTCACAAAGACAAGTGAACAAGACGTCGAGCCGAGATTCTACAATTTGGGAATCGTCTCGTTCGGGCCCGGCAACTGCGGTGCAGCCACACAGTCGGTGGTCTACACGAGGACGGCCAGCTACATATCGTGGATTTTGAACAATTTGTATTGAGATATGCAGTTATTATTTCTTTGAACTTTACAAAATACAATATATTGTTTATACGTGCTACACATGTACACAAGTGTATCATTGGCCAAGGTAAACTGTACAGTAGTCCCCCTTCTTGTTTACGCAGGCAACAACAATCGTTATTATCCGCGAGCGGGAGCACAAGTGTGACACACGGATGACGTTCTTTATTATTACAGTTTGATTTAAGACTTGTGGGGCGATAATTTTTAACGATGTCTGTATATTAGCCGTTAATAACTGCGCTTTACATGGTATATCGAATGCAGCAGCCGACGCAGCTTATGGAATCTAGCTTATGGACGCGCGGAGATTTTTTTAAGGCTCGCGGATAATTTATACAGTCGAGGCTCGCGACCAGCCCCGCGAGCAACGCTAATCTCTTTAAAATTTCATTTTTTCCGCTCGTTATATGCCGCGAGCGTGTTTCCCTTGCATAACTGCCTCGTAAACGAGCGAGCTTTATTTTCTTTAAGTACGTGGATAATAAAAAAGGAATCTTTTTTAGCGTTGCTGTACACACGCTCGACACCGCAGCTGTCTATGTGCGTGTGTGCCTTTATTGTTATGAAAACGAATAATCAAGATCGGCGATAAAGAATGTTATAATTATTATCTCGGCGAAAGTGTGTAATTGTTTTAACCGTTTTGTTGCGCCCGCGCGCCACATCAGGAAGTAGCTTCTAAAATTACGCGAAACAAACACATCTGTTTGTCTTTTCGGATCGAGCTTTTTTTTTTTGCTTGCACTTCTCGACTGTGCAGTATCGGTGCAAAGAGAGAGAGTAATTTTCTCAGTCGATCCGCGGCAGATGCATCATTTGCAGGTGTTGTAGGCGCGCAGTCTGAGTCGATTGAGTGAGAAGAGAAGTTTATAGATATTTGTTGCACCGCACACTGCACTGCTTGTGTGGCGTATACGCATCACAGGTATTGAGAGATCCAGATTGAAACGATTGGAACTGATGGTTATAGTCGCTGCTTGAGAGCTAGATCCCCTGCCGCAGAAATGCAGTCCAATGCCGGTGCGCATTCGGTGCGTTTGATACTTGTTTGCTCCCTACTAATCGTTTCGGCAGGTGAGTGTTTTTCATTCCTTTCCCTCTTTCTTTTATCTCTCTTTTTTTTTTATAAATGGAATCGAGCGAATCATATTTGTTATGCATCGGTATCTATCGACTTTGTTGTTGTTGTTGTTGCTGTTGGCAGGCGCGTTTAATTTCGTCGAGCGGGACGATAGCTGCTGGACGCCCTACGGCGAGCGAGGCGTTTGCACCATCGTGGGCAGATGCGGCTACATTATGTCATTGATCAGGCCGCGAGGGATTGCCTCGCCGGCCGTTTTGATGTTCATGCGCCGCAGCACCTGCGGATTCATCGGACGCGAGCCCAAGATCTGCTGCTCCGTGCAGAAATCAACGACGACTACCACTACGACGACGACGACGACAACGACGACGACCAGAAGGCCGCCAACCACGACAACGAGTAGACCAACGAGACGACCTCGTCCGGTCTTCGATCCGGATGACTACGACGATTTCGATTTCGAGGATAGGCCTTTGAGCAACGGCGCCAGGATCGAACCACCTACCACGACGACTACGAGGAGGAGACCGACGTGGACGAGCACTACTGCGAGACCTACAACGACGACGACAACGACAACGACTACCACTCCCAGACCACCACCGACTGCTACCCAGGCCAGCACTACCGAGCCACCCACAACCACGTCGATCCCTATAACGACATCCGCACAAGCTGGCTGGACTATTCCAGCCGACGTCGCGTCACTGCTACCGGAAAACTGCGGCGGCGATTTGGCGGCCAATCGAATTCTGGGCGGCGAAAGGACCGAGCTCGAGGAGTTCCCCTGGATGGCCGTGCTCGAGTACGAGTATCGTGAGTGCATCTCAATTTATTTTTCGTCTCGTCGCGCCGATATCGAAGCGGATATACGTGCGCTCGTTGCATCCGGAAATCAAAGTCGCGCAATGCTATACGCTCGAGCTCGCGTACCTAAATGACTAATTATTCACATGTATATGAAAATCAACAAGACATGACACAGCTGTGAAATCACTGTTGATAAGAGCCGCGCGTATTTTCGTGACATTAATTTCTGCGAAAAAAAACGACTGTATCGTATTCTTACGCAATGATGCATGCAACGAAAATCTGCTTAAATCGATTGATTAAACGCGCGTGCGTGTATGTATTGTTGTCGCGTTGCAGCCAAAGGCACGATAACCGGCTGCGGCGGTGTGCTGATCAATCAGCGCTACGTGCTGACCGCCGCCCACTGCGTGCGCTCGATCCCGTCGACCTGGCGTCTGCGCAACGTCCGCCTCGGCGAGTACGACATGCGCACCAATCCGGACTGCGTCAACGAGGGCAACGGCCAGCTGACCTGCGCCGATCGGGTCCTCATCGTGCCGATCGAGACGGAGCTCGTCCACGAGCAGTTCATGCGGCCCGTGACGTATCGCAACGACATCGCCCTGCTGAGACTGTCGCGAGACGTACCTTTCTCCAGGTTCGTCCAGGCGATCTGTCTGCCGAGTCATCCGCGGCCGGCCTCGTTCTACTGGTCGGCCGGATGGGGCCAGAACGAGGAGGCCAAGACGTCGGACGTCAAGCAGAAGGTCATGCTGCCGCACTTCGACTTCGATCAGTGCGCCCAGCTCTACACCACGAAGAATCTGCTGCTGGGCGAGGGACAGATGTGCGCCGGTGGCAGGGCCGATCACGACACCTGCAAGGGTGACTCGGGTGGTCCACTCATGAAGATCGACCAGGAAGGTAACAGGCCGGGCACTTGGGTCGTCGATGGAATCGTGTCCATTGGATTCTCGCCGTGTGGACTCACGGGCTGGCCGGCTATCTACACCAAGGTGCATCCTTACATGCCTTGGATCATGAGCAAACTTCAGCCTTGAGGGATGCAGAGAGCCTGTGAACGCGACTGTAATTGTACATTTCAAATAAAAGAAATAAATTATAATTATATGTGACGATCGTGACTGTGTAAAATAGTTACGAGTCGTAAGTTATAGGATATAAAATTATTAAATTTATTCATTACAATTTGATAAAAGTGTTCCTCGTGGTTTTGCTTAATTGATTTTATGTATGAGCACATCGGTAAAAAGCTGGGGGTCCTTAGTACCCGCAATCATATCTATTTACTCGAACTCGAAAATTACCCAAAAATACAAAAAGAACGCAACGTACGATTTGTTTCGCTAAATCAACAAATTTACATTTTTTTGATAGCCACGCCGAATTAATTTTCACTGATAATGGGCCTTCGATTACATAAATTATCTTTTCAATTTTCGAACATTTCGTAATAATATTTTTAGCGCAATCCCTATATTTGGAGTATGCTTTCAATTTCACCTCAAAATTAATTTGTGCATTAATGGAGCTTAACGATTTTTCATATTAAAAAATAATAAGGTATAAAAGCGGCGCATAATTCGAGGTATTGGTTAATTATTTATACTGTGTTTAATCGTGGAGCGCTCGCACCAGCAGCAGCATAAGATGCAGCCACAAGTGTAAATTCTAAAAATGAAATTGCGGAGAAGTAATGAAACGAATTCATTTTAAAGCTTCACTGTAGAGATCCTTTGGAAGCGAAATAAATTGTTTTTTCAAAACATCAGTTAAAAATACTGCAAATCAATCCTAATTGCATTGTTTCGCTTAATACGGTCATCTGAATTATCGTTGAATTAATTTTTATCGAAATGTTCTTTTTTTGACCACTATCACTTAGGAAATTAAATTAACGTCTTCGAAAAAACCCAAACTAAAAAAAATAAAATAAAAAATACAAGTAGATTTTATTGAAGAGGTAGAAGAATAACTTATCAAACTCTAACGAGACAGCCGTTGTATTTTAACGAACAAAAATTCTCGATTAATTTGGATGATACCATGTCTTGGTCGCATTTTTTGAATAGCTAATCGAAAATTTATGGTTTTTATGTATAACTGGGATTTGTTTTCTTTTTTAACGATTATAGTTCAAAAAATAATGCAGAAATGATTATTTTTCAAAAATTTGAACTATTAATAGAACAACAAAATGTATACAGTGAGAATTCACATTAGCTTTTGATGCTATTGAAAGTGTATATTTATAGTGTCGATGTAGTCACGGGGATTCCCGCGCAATTAAAGTGTACAAGGCACTAGAAATCTGCAAGCTTTAAAATTTTCGTATACTTGACATCCCGGAAACTAATGCTCTTGTTACTTATGCTAATTTTTTTTTAAAATTAGCGTTAGGTTCAACGAGAGTCCATCGCAAAAGTTACGCACTGGTGCTCGAATTTCGATGTACTCACATTCGCACTCACCCATTTACGTACTGGAGACTTCGGAAGAGGCAGTCATGCGTCACGCGCACATTGACGTTTGAGCAGCGCTTTAATGGGCAATACATACATCTATATTGCGTATACACAGGCGGACTCTCCACGCGGTGCCTGCGGGGCATAATGTGTCGTCGCCGAAGCTTCGCGGCAGTTTTTTGGGCAATACGAAGCTGCGGTACCTATAGGGGACGTATTGTCAGTATCGCACACACACACACACATATATACTTGTCGAGGATATATGGACCCAAGCGGCATATATCTACCTGCCAGCTTCACGGTAAAATATATACATGCGCGGGGACAATTTAAAACCATAATTCGTCGATTTATCGTACGGATAGAGAGATAGCGAGTGAGAGATAGGAAAGAGAGAGAGAGGGAGAGAGAGCGAAAGCGAACGAGGAAAAAAATAAGCTGCGCTTCGCGTAAATTTGAATTTTTTTTATACTACACGCACGAATTTAATTGCTGTAAAAACGATATATGTAGTCGCGCCTGTGGGTCTTCGAGCGCAAAGTACTAATGAAAATAAATTGATTTTTCATAGTTATATTGCGTAAAAAAAACTGGCAAATTTTTTTTGTTTGTTTTTTTTTTTGTACAAATCGATATTGGCTTCGAACTTCTCCACTCGGTTGTGTGTGGCGTGATGGAATTAATATAATATCGCAACGTTTGAACGCGAAGAGATTTGATTTCGGCTGAAGCGCGATGATTATTTCTTTTTTTTTTATAATTCAATGAACAATTATAGAATTACTCATTATCTCGCCTCGCATGCGTGCAAACGATCGCAGCTGATCAATTTTTAGAGAGGACCGACGCATTTGAGAAATTTCAAAAACGAACTTGGCATCGAGATTCAATTGGCGTCATTCCGCTCCTCAAAAAGCTGAAAAAGTTTACGACGAACGATCATCATCTTGACAAGCTGCAGCATAATCGGAGCGTCCACCGAATTAGCATTTTATGTCATCTACGTCGATGATAGTTGCAAAATTCATCAATGCGCGCACGATGCGCGGAAAAAAACCACGTACATCTTTCATACCAAGAATCCATGTGTATTACAAAGCAAATAGAGCGAAGCAGGAGAGAAAAAAAAAGAGAATATAATGTATCGCAAGTGGCGCGCGTTGGTTTTACCGAGACACACAGAGAGCTAAAACGATGAAAGTGATAATTATTCATCTTTTTCTTTTTGTCTCCGTTGCTCTTTGGTAAACACTCGCTCATGTCTCTCTTACGCATTTAACATATTGTGTGTGTGTGTGTGTATATTATTGCCGCAAAGAAAGACGTCGACAACGATCGCGACGGTCATTCATACTTCGGTCGCTGATGATGCTGCGGCTGTTGCTGAAGAAGAGGCTCACAAGAGTCCAGTAGTGGGAGACACTAGTTAACCCTGGACGTGTGTGTATGTAACGATCTCTGGAGCGGAGTGGTCGGGGGCATGCATGCGAGCGAATCTATAAGAGAGACTATAAGGAGAGAATCATTTAGTAGCTCATCGCTCGTTTAAACGGACATCTAGCCGCTAGCTCGCTTGTCTGCGTCTGTGCGCGTCTGTGTGTGTATGTGTGCAGTTGTGTACTGTGCTGTCGTCGACTTTTGCGTGTGGCGCTTCACACGACTTGGTTCTTTACACATATAAACAGATCTGCACGAGCCGGCAGATTGTCAGTGTCGCGAGCTGCTGCTGCGAGACACGCGTCGAGTCGCGCACACAACACACGCACAGGCACGATGATGATCGCTTTTGGATTCGTGCTGCTGGCAGTCATCTGCTTCTCCAGCCATGCTCGTGAGTACTTGCATTTTATATTTTATTCGAGGAAGGATTCGCGTGCTTTTTTTCGGCTTAATGAGAAAAAAATAAAGTAGACCGGCAAAAAACTCGAAATTTTCGTACGGGGTTACTGTATTTTATATCAATCTATCTAATAGAGATGTTATTCATAATTGTAAATGAATAAGTAGCCGATAATTGGTTTTGAGAAAAATCACTCTGCATCAATATCTAGCCACTTTTTAATACGGCATTTCTTTTTTGATTATTATAAAAATACCTTGTAAAACCAAAATAGCACATATTGAATAATAATTGATTCAACTATTGTAATCGGACCAATCAATGATTAGGTACCAGTGAATGACCATTTTGAAAAATATAATATGGAAAATAATTAAAAATATATTTCGTATGGACGTTATTTATCCAAAAATGGTCAATCACTGGTCCAGATTAATTTCAAAACTGGTGCAAACGATTTTTAATCCATTGTTCGATGGTCATTGCGCAGAGCTACATCCTGGAAGCCAGTGTCTAACCCCGGACAATCTGCGGGGCGTCTGCGTCAACATCAGGGAATGCGAGTCGATGCTGAACCTGCTGATCAACCGATCCGGTGACCCATCCACCGCCGATTATCTCCGCAGAAGCCAGTGTACCTTCCAGGGCAGAAACCCCATCGTCTGCTGCGCCTCCAACAACAACAACAACTACCCGACCTACCCCGTTAATCCACCCCAATACCCAAGCAACCCCCAATACCCAAGCAACCCTCAATACCCAAGCAACCCCCAATACCCAAGCAACCCACCTTTCAACGATCCCAGTAGATTCGGCCCGCCACAACCCAGCGTTGGAGCCTCGTTGCTGCCCCAGGAGTGTGGACAGGACCTGTCGAACCGCATCGTGGGCGGCGAAAAGGCGGCCATCGACGAGTTCCCCTGGATGGCACTGATCGAGTATCGGAAACGTAAGTCGTTGCGCTAGTTTCGATTACCGAGACGATTCCGTTTGGATAAGACTCGTCGTAATCGTTTGTTTGTTTCTTCCTGCAACAGCTCAAGGCATCGACACGCATTGCGGCGGTGTGCTGATCAGCAATCGCTACGTCCTCACCGCGGCCCACTGCATCGCGGGCCTCGAGAAGCGTAACTGGTATCCGGCCAACGTGCGCCTCGGCGAATACGACACCAGCAAAGCCGTGGACTGCGTCCCGGACGGCGCCGGCGGCGAGACCTGCGCGCCACCCACCGTCAGCATCCCCATCGAGGAGCACATCGTCCATCCGCAGTACAACTCACCGAATGCCCAAGAGGGCCACGACATCGCCCTGCTGCGACTCGCCCGCGAGGTCCGCTTCACCGACTACATCAAGCCCATCTGCCTGCCCAGCAGCGCCGACATCAAGAATCGCGTCGTGGCCGCCGGCTGGGGCAAGACCGAGGTCAGCGCCAAGTCCGACATCAAGCTCAAGATCACCCTGCCGATTGCCAACCAGCAGGAGTGCAGGGCCAAGTACCAGCAGCAAAACGTCAGACTGATCTCGAGCCAGCTCTGCGTGGGTGGCCAGCGCGGCTTCGACACCTGCTCCGGCGACTCGGGCGGCCCCCTCATGCAGCAGAACGCCTACCCGGACGGCACCCAGAGGTGGACCAGCATCGCCATCGTCTCGTTCGGCCCGAGGGTGTGCGGAACCGACGGAATCTCCGGCGTCTACACCAAGGTCTACGACTACATGCCCTGGGTCTTGAGAAATTTGAAACCTTGAGAGGGACGACTGCTTTTCTTACATTATTTTTATTTTCTTTTTTTGTAATCTCGTATCGTTAAGTTTCTTGACTGTAAACCCCCTACGTTGCCCATGCGAATGACCAATGATATTGATTATCGTTGCTGGTATAAAGATTTGGACCTATAGGATGTAGACACATTTTTTTATATACATGATAATTTGTAATAAAAAGTGTAAAAGACACGTTTGTTAAGTACGCAATAATAAAAACCACATGTTCTTTTTTTTCATAAAATTGACGTAGACTTTATTACGCGCACGATTGCACACATATTTATTAACCATCTTTCAATGTGTATATGAACTATTATATCGATTAATTACCCGCCACTATGTTTCATCGAAGATCAACAAATTTTTCATTTCGCGATTCAGCGCCATAAATTGAAAAAACATACATCATGAGGCAGCAAAGACCGCGTGTCGCTATCGCGGCTCTCTTTGTGCGCACATTCTGTAATAACTAATATAATATAAAGCGGCATATAGCAGCCAATACAGCAGTTCACGGTCAATGTGTACAAAAGGTCATATTCCATTTATTATGCTAATCGTCTAAATCATCTGCACATAGAGTACACGACACATCTGCCGGCCTCCCTCCCTCCTTCTCTCTCTCTCTCTCTCTCTCATTCTCAAGTAGTGGTGTGTACCCCGCAAAACGAGGAAAAGCCGGTCTTTCGAGATAAATCATGCGTGGCTTCTCTTCTTTAGAAAAAAAGCAGAAGAAGAAGAAAAAATATTTCGCTTACTGCCTCTCTCTTGAAAATTACGCTCCATTATCAAAGAGTAATTATGTCATCGCTCGCTCGCTAGCGCTCGTTAAGAAATTGTTAAGAGCGCAATATATAATACGATCGTATGGGCACCAAAGAGCGCCTTAATACGCGTGTATCGCTGCGCACCTTATTTAAAACAAACACATAACTCATTCGATATACGCTCCGCCGAGAGACACCAAAAGGAAAATCCCGTGTGTATATATAGCGAATTGGCCGAGAAAACAGCTGTGGCTTTCGTACGTACGTCGCTCGCGTGCGAGGCTCTCTTTGTTTCAAGGCGAATGCGTGCTATAATGTGCGATATTAAACATCACAGCAGCGGCGCACGATCGCCTATACACACAGTCAGCCTGGAGCACTTATTATTCTTCCGACGAGAGACGTCTGACCTAATAATTGCGATCTGTCTCTCTTGTGACTTTATGCTCGTTTTGTTTCATTCATGTGTACGTGTGTGAATGTGCTTCGCATATGTCAGAGCCCGTATAATAACGAGCGCCGGCAACGAATCGACATAGAGGGAGGGAGAGAGAAAAAAAAACCCGGTGCGCTCGCGGTAATATTCAAAAAAATCGAGGGAGTAAAATCCGATCGAGAAGCCATTAATCAACAAGAGATTTTCGACAAGTATTTGTATAGATTTGTTAGGCCATTCGCATGGCTCATTTGAATCGCGTGTGTACCCCGGCGTGTTATCAAAAATTCAAACGGATCGACGACCGACGCTTCTTTTTCTTCTGTTTTTTTTTACGTAATTCGTATATTTACTCGGGGTAAATACGAGAGAAGCACGGCTATTTAACAAATAATTATAAAATGTCGCAAATCCCGAACTCTATACTCTGCGTACGTATGCTACTTGCGGAAGATCTAGCTTAATTATGAAATAAAACAAAACGCGGAGGGGGCGTTAATGGACTCGCGAGTGGTATATTTGCTCTTTGCTCTCTGTATATACCGATCTCTTTCTGCCACGCGCGTGCACAAAGAGTCGTAGTAGTCGTCGTTTGTTGACCCACTGCGCGACTCTCATTATCGAAATCAATTATGGACAGTGATTTTAATAAACAGTTTCGCCATTATATTTCCCGACTCTTATAACAATGACTGGTAAATACGATCGCGAGCAGAAATTTTCTGAAAAATGATTTTTTACTCGTTGACCTATATGTCGTTAACAATAATGATGTGTGTGTTTGTGTATCGATTATGCGGCCCCGTTGTCGTTGGAAATGAATTATACACTGTCGAGGCATTGACACTGATGCTCTTCTTTATATTTCTCTCGTTCATTTTTTTAGCAAACAGATCTGAGAACATAAAAATAGACACTCACCGACATGTACACGAGCGCTCGAGCAATAATACTCATTATATGTGTACCAACGTCGAGATATGTCAAAAGAGAGAGAGAGAGAGAGAGAAGAGGAGAATCCGAGATGTAATCGAAGAGGGGAAAAGTATCATTGGATACATCACCCGCTCACGTCGATCCGAGCTCAAGTCGAACGAGGAAAAACTCACCAGCGGAGCATTAAAAAACTGGTTTCAATGAGCCAATATATGTGTATATTATAAATGTAGCTGCTCTCCGCCGCTGTCTGTCTGTATAGAGTTCGCAATCATCATCGCAGCTCGCACAGCCGCACACAGTGGGAAAAAGATCGCTGCTCTGCGCGCGCGCGACGACGACGACGACGACGACGACGACGACGACGACGCATTTTTAATAATCGGCACACACCGCGCCTCGATTAAAATTTCATATACATTATACTTGTAGGTATATAAGTGTGTATTGAAAAACGGACGCGCCAGCAGCGACAACGAAGAAGCTTCGGTGAGCCGCCGATCCGAAAAATCCCGACCACCGCCTCGCGCCGCTGAGCTCGTCGATATAATATATACCTACATCCGTCTCTGTTCGATATACACGTTTTACATACACACGCGCGGCTCGACGGAATCGGCTCGGTGGAGAGATATCTTCGCTTTTTTTCTGCTTTGTTGCTTTCTTGCAAAAGTGAGCGATATACGCCGCGCTTGTAGGATAGTGTAGTGCGCGAAGAGCATCGGGCGCACATCGCTGCTGCTTTGTGACAAAAAGACCGAGACACTTTTTTCTTCGTGTTATTACTGAATTTTCTTTTTTTTTACAAAGATGAAGTGCCTGGTTTATCTAGCGGTGGTGTTGTTCCTGGCTCAGGAGTCCTTGGCACGTGAGTTGCGCATTACATATATATTTTATTGATATATTTTTTTTCTCCGCTACTTTTTGTGCGCGAGATCTCATCGATGTAAATGTTTGCGCCGATCGCTCGAACTCGTTATCGATCTTGTAATTCGCTTCCTGATTAAAGCGCCGAGGAAAACTCCGCCGCTTATAATCGGTTCACTGAATTTTCCTCAATTCCGCAGAGTTCAGCTGCCTGACTCCGGACTCCAGGATAGGAAGTTGCATCAATATCTACCAGTGTCCGGCGTTGCTGGCCCTTCTGCAGCAGAGACCATTGCTTCCCGCCTCCGTGCAATTCTTACAAAAGGCCCAGTGCGGCTTCGAGGGCAAGAATCCAAAAGTTTGCTGCGAACCTAGCGTAAGTCGTAGCTTCGTTCGAACGCGTTTACCGATCTCGTACCGAACTTGACTCGAGTCTCGCGATTTTCTCACAGTCCAACGGCAACGGAGGTAACAACGGCAACAACGGCAACGTCTGGGGACAACAGACGACGACGACAACGACCACGACGACTCGTCGGCCGATCCTGCCACCCAACAACGGTGGCAACAACGGTGGCAGTGGATCGAACCCCAGCCCACCCGACGTCACTCGTCACCCGAATCTTCGCCTGCTCGATCACAATCTCTGCGGGCCGATCAGCGACGACAAGATCTACGGCGGCAACCGCACCAAAGTCAACGAGTTCCCGTGGATGGCCCTCGTGGCCTACGACACCGGCCTGTCGGAGCCCCAGTATCGCTGTGGCGGCTCGATCATCAACAAGCGCTACATCCTCACCGCTGCTCATTGCGTCAGGAACTTGGGCTTCAGTGAGTATATGAGAAAAGCAGTACGATGAACCCCGCGCACGGGAGGGCGTGTGCAAGGCGACCTGTTAGCTTTCGGATTTCCTTCTTTTTTTTGTCTTTAGTGGGGGAAAAAATAATAAAAAAAATAAATAAATAAAAAGAAAATGACTCGTATTTTTACGCGAATCGAAAGTTAAAATCATGCTGCTTTGTGTAATTTCGTAATCCAGTAGCGACGCGCGATGCCTCATTGATTATGCAAACATCGATGCACATCATCGCAGGCATCGAAACTCTCCAAGTTTTTATTGAAGCAAAAAACAATTTGGGCGTCAGTAGCTGCTGCTCCCGTCTCGCTCACTCGTGTTACGTTTTACACACTCAAATTATATATTATGATTGAAAAACGATGAGCGCAAGTGCTTTGTCGTCGTCGTCGTCGTCGTCGTCGACGGTGTCAGAAAAAAAACCGAAGGTCAAAGCGCGCGCGCATACTCACAGAAGTCAGTTTAAACAGCTGAGCCGACGATCTCACGCTGATCTCGCACTGATAATGTGTAATTGAATAAGCTGAACTGCTCGATTGAAAGAGAGAGAGAGAGAGAGAGAGCTATAGAGATAGAGATGAAAAAAAAGCTTGAAACTTAAGGTCGTTATTCTTCTGCGTAGATATGCGCCCGGTCGGTATCAGAGTGGGCGAACACGACCTCGGCTCCGAGCGAGACTGCGACTACGCCGGCACACCGAACGAAGTGTGCGCCGAAAAATATCAAGACTTCGGCATCGAGCGAATCATCGCCCATCAAAAGTACAACCCAGTCAGTCTGCAGAATGACATCGCCTTGATCAGGCTAAGCCGGGACATCGACTTCAGGCCGGACAATGCCAAGCCCATCTGCATGCCGGTAGCTCCGGCCAATAAAATCAACAGTAACAAGGTTTGTACAATCGCGATAAGATCTGTTTATTATTTTTTCATGTATGGTCGATTCTCTGTCAACTTACCTGCTCAAAAATTTTGTTGCTTATCTGATCCGTTGAATATATTTTTTGAGATGTCAGGATTGTTCCAAAATTTTGGTAGAATTTTCAAGACTGTCTGTCATCCTTTTTTAAAAATCCAAAGTTGGCATTTTTCCGAAGTTTATTCTTATAGCAAACATTTTAAAATTTTCTAGCTCAGTCTTGGATGAATTAAGAAAAAAAGTGTGAGAAAACTTTAAAATTTTTGAAATCATTACAAAAATTTAAAAGATAAACGTTCTAAGAAAGTTCAATAATTCGATTGCATTTGGTCTTTCATGTTTATCTCCTGGGTAGCTCCTAAAGTGTTCAGACTATAATTGAATGTCATTTCAAAGACTAAAATACAATTTTTATTAAAATTTGGGGGTGAGAGCGAATAGACATAATTTGTCAGCATTCGAAAGATCATACACCATTGTTTTTCTCTCATTTCCTTAAATTTCCCACGTTTTTTATACTTTTTATATAATTTTAATAAAAATTGTATTTTGATTTTTGTAACAACATGTTTCAATATTGGATAATTCATTTTTGGAGTTTTACGTTATTGTTACATTTTTAAGCAGTTTGGGGTTTTGAGTATGATTTCATCTACAAATTTCAATATCTCGTCAAATTTAACGTAAGAAATTATGTTTCAAATATGTGTTCATAATTATCCCATCAAAGTAAAGAAAACTTTTACATATAATCACCCCAAAATAAAATTTAAAAAATGAAAATTCAACCTTGAGCCCCAATACATATGATGTGGGTAGATTAGCAGGCTCAAAATTTTGGAAATTATTTTCTATGTACTTTCTACGATTTTCAAGGTACTTCTTCTATTTTATTTTTTGGCATATTTCGCTTGACTCAGAATCACCAAAATACAATGGACTCAAATAAAAAAACTTTCGTTAAACTCGACACTCCCTTATACAGCTGCTGGTGACGGGATGGGGACTCACCGAGCAACGCCAGGTGTCACCGGTCATGTTAAAGGTCTCCCTGCCGATCTTCAGTCAGGAGCTGTGCGGCGAACGCTACAAGGGACAGACCATCGTCTGGTACAAGCAGATCTGCGTGGGCGGCGAGCAGGGCAAGGACTCGTGCTCCGGCGACTCGGGCGGTCCCCTCCAGGGCGTCGGCGTCTACAACGGCGAGCCTCGCTACGTCCAGCACGGCCTGGTCAGCTTCGGCCTCAGGAACTGCGGCCAGTCCGGCTTCCCGGGCGTCTACACGCGCCTCGAGTACTATCTCGACTGGGTCCTCGACAATATCAAAGACTGATTTTCTTTTTTCACACATGGATATTTTACTTATTATTATGACTTTTTTTGTAACTTCGTGGTAGATGTGCCCAAGTGTGTTCCGACGTACCTCCGCATGATTGTATACTGTATTTCTTAATTTTATTAAAACGACGATCGAACGTGCATAAAAAAAAAAGAACAAAAAGTATATCGCAGAGCCTGCCCGACAGTTTCTTTGAATAAATAATTGAATAGAAGATCTTTTTATTTATTGGACAGCGAAAGCTTTTTAATGAGACAATAAAATTTCGACAATGCAAATAACACAATAATTGGCCCCTATAATTGGGCCGCGCACATATACACATAATATGCTCAACGACTGATTACAACGAAAACGGTAAACAACGAATATCTCCTCAATAATTATATGGAGCACATGTAATAAGAGGCACGTAAACAATGATACATTCGCACGTAATACAGTAGCACAATATACTGCAACAATCTGTCCTCCCCCTGATTTGCATTTACACACGTGGTTCGGCTTCTTTCCGCATATAATTGTATAACATTTTTGTTTCTGTCTTTAACTATTGCACATAGTTTCGAGATAATTTATTATTCCTTAATTGGGTGAGATCAAATATTTCTCTTTTCTTATAAATAATTGCATCCCAAAATTGCTGCTTACATAATTCTAAAGTAGTTATCAAAGTATAGTCGTTGTTGGGTTTACCCGGCTTTTTTTTCTTTCAGCCTTCGAAAATGACGTAGGTTACAATTTACAAAATCATTCACGTTTCGCCAACGATTACAATCAATCGCAAATAACGTGCTGATTTTTTTTCTTTTTTTTTAAGTATCAACTTTCAGTGCGTTAACGGCTGAAACTACTCTACTCGATAAATATAATGTTCGAAATCTATAATTAATAAGAAAGATAATCCTTTTTCAATGTTATTTTAAAAGTTTTAAGAATTTTATATTTTATCGATGTTGAATTCGATTATTATTGCATAACTTGTCGTTGTTTTTTTATTCGATCGTGCCTTAGTAATTGTTCATTCAAATATATACTTGTCTAACTAAATCGACTTAACTGACGAACAACATGCATTCAATTCTCATTTAAACGTATAATAAAACATACAAATTACATTCGAACGTACAATAAAGTAACGGAATCGCAATGACGAGCCAACAGAAGAAAACTTCGAACGTTGAAGTGAAAAATATAACGACGATGGATGCAGCAAGTGTGTGCGTGCGTGTGTGTGTGGTCAGGGAGAGACGGTTATAAACATTCGCTCGCGCGCCAAAATCAGTGCCGGCCGTTAGATAGAGCATTCATAGTAGCGTCGCGAGGGGGTGGGGGGGAGGCAGCGACGAAGCGAGAGAGGAACGACGCGTGCCGCGCGCGAGCGCCAGCGAGAAGGGGCAAGACCCTTTGTCTCTCCTAATTAGTGTCATCGGTGATCGCGGCGCGCTTCGATGCCGACGATCCACCGACTTATGTTTTTTACGTTTTCGAGTGGGATTGCCTTCAGAGTATACATAGAGTTGTACACAATCGAGTGTTCGATGTCGGGACGCGTATCTTATTCTATAAAGTGTAAAATGCAAGTGTTTTGTGTGTGTGTGTGTAGCTGACGTGCGCGAGTAGCTTGTCCAGATGAATAAGAGTGTTATAAATACTCAAAAGATTAACGGATATCGCTACAGAACATGGCTTTCGGCAAATCGCGTAGCATATTATAGACGGATTTCCATATTTCTGCGACGACGTATCTATAATAGCAAGGCAATGATGCTGCGCATTCAAATACTTGGAGCAATTTGTGCGATTGTTCGCGAGTCGACGACGGTTATAAGCGACGATTCGAACCGGATTCGAAATGGCATTACTTAATGCATTTTGCAAACATCGGCGTAATCTCTCTGGTGAGTCTTTTTTATATAATAATCCGAAAATTTCCACTTTTTATTTTTCAACGAGTTTAAAGTATTGTGGTTTGCGTACGAATTCAGTCGATATGCTGCACGATGAGAATGCGACTTTTTCAAATATCTAACATTCAACGTACATCACTATCTTTTAAAACTATATACTAGTAGTCTGTTCGTTTCGCGTTATGTTTCATCGATATCATTATCACTAGGTTAATTATTTTACATAGTCTTAACGGTTATAATATAAATCTGAGCTATTGTGCGTTCTTTTTCGTCGGAGTACGTTAGACTTATTCTCGCGCATACGAGTGGCGTACAAAATCAGAACAGTTACAAAATGTAGCAAGCATCGTCGAAAAACATCCCTTAAAACCTAAATTAGATTGCACTCGAACTCGTTACCTCCTCCTCAATCGATCAAATCTAATCTCGACAATAAACCAGTCAATTTGTCGCTCGCCGGCCATCCACATCAGCAGTGCTGCTACAGCCTCGGGCCACCGCCGCTGTTCAAACACTCGGAACTGGCTCTCTCCTTGTCCTTTTTGCTGCTACACTGATGATGATGGTGATGATGATGGTGAGTCGTCATGTTAGCGTGATCGTCGTCGATGAGCTCGGCTTTTTCGTTGATCGACACTCTCAGCGGTCCCTTCTTCTTCGCGTTCATTCCGCAGTTGTTTTCCAATCTCGAGTAGAGTTTTCGGGCGTCGTAATCGGGCGACGAGCTGGTCAGCGAGCCCACGGAATTCGGCCGCTCGGAGCTCATGCTCAGCAGACTGGCGTACGAGTCGGCGCTGCTCGAGCTGCGATGTTTACTCGTGCTGCAGTTGTATGTTTTTTTCTTCCGCCGCGAGGAGCATATGCCATTGTTGTTGTTGTTGTGGTTGGTGGTGGTGCTGCTGCCGCCTTGCTGTTGCTGATGATGCGCGTGATGATGATGATGAAGGTAGCGCGAGGGCTCGAAGCAAAAGGAATCCTGAAGCCTCGGGCAGAGGCGCAGCGAGTTCTGGAAGCTCTGTAACGTCAGCGCATCGTCGTCCTTTATAGAGAGCGAGGGAGACGCCGGTATTATACGATGATGTGATGCTTTTATGTCATATGTATACGATCGGCATAGATATATATATAGATATATTGCATTATATATGATGTGCAGTGTGCAGTATGTGGCAGCAGCAACGCGTTCAACACAGACAAAAGTGTAACAGGATGAAATGTGTTATTATATTAGAGGTGGGTCCCCGGCAACGATGCTGTGATTGAAAACGATACGATCGATACTAACACGTATCTTTCTCTCTACTATATACACGTGCACATATAAACTGCACTATATACATAGGGATGAGTGTGCACAATTTTGTGTTGCTGAAAATAAAAGGAATGCAAACGGGCACTCACAAACACTACACAGCAGCAGCAACAGCAAGCGAGCGACGATGCGTAAATTTGATTTATGTATTTAAACCGAAAGAGCTCGGAAATCCAATTTTCCGTTGTTGAAAAATCTCCGCGCGCGCCAAGTGAAAATAGAAAGGAGAGACGACGTCGACTACGACTACGACGATGTACACATAAATAAAAAATCTCGCAGACGTGCATTTATACTCGATTCAGATGCAGCAAATGTGTACGCATGCTATATAACACCATCCAACCGAGAATTACATTAAAAGCGCCGTGTATCGCAATTTATTAAAAAGAAAGTAAGAAACAAAGCTACATGACCCAGTTATCGAATGCGAAAAAAAAAGATTATTATCGAATTTCATTACAGGGAAAGACAGTGGGTAAGCGGAAAAGTGAGAGAGAGAGAGAGAGAGATGAGGGAGATGAGAGAGATGAGAGAGATGAGAGAGTCAGAGAAAAGTAATTTTTATTGTTTGTTGTATCGTACCTGAGAGTAGCGCTCGAAAAGCGTTGGTATTCTCGTTACACGATCGAGCATCATTTCCATTTGCATGCGATGGCGCTCCGCCTGCTCACGTGCCTCGTCCCTGCGCAGCGAGGCTCGAAAATCCATGTCCCTCTCGTGCTCGTGCCTTGTATGGATGCATACACAACGAGAAGAAAAAACAAGACAAAATGAGGACTTTTTCACTGGGTTAATTCGCGTGTATAAGCCGTGAGGGATAAAGATCGATTCACGACTGCAAATTATTTAGGGAAAGAAAAGTTTCCTTTCAATTTATACACGGGGGAAAATTGGCCCGGTGCAAGAGCAAAAGAGATTAGCATTTATACATCTTGATATAACTAGTCCCGAGCAATTAATTTCAAAGAGCTGCGCCCTCTCCTCTTACCCCCGCGTGCGCATATACGCGTGAATTCTATAGATATATGGATAGTAGTAGTACAGTATGTACTATATGTATGCATGTATTTTATACAGACCTCGCGGCGGATCGCAAAGCTCGCCAGGCCGGCTTTCTGCCAATTAAAGTTTTCCGCATCCGAAGCATCTGTTCTCGGCGCTTCTCCTCCAGCCTCTCCTGTATTTCGCGCGCCAGCTTTTCCCTGTACGTGCGTGTGTGTGGATGGTTGGGTGGATGGTTGGTTGGTTGGTTGGTTGGGTGGTGCGCACGTCGAGAGGAGGACAAAGAGAAGAGAAAGATAGAGCTGAGAAGCGTTTTATTGCCTCATTTACGCGGCATTTGCTACTGCTGTTACTTCTTGATACTTTGAAAATTTATATATAATACACGAGTATATTCCTCTCTCTCTCTCTCTCGAGCGCGAGAATGAGGGACTTTTCGACTCGAGGCGCGCGTAATGAGTTTTTGTTGAAGAAAATAATTATCGAGTAATTGATGAAGCTTAAAGCGTATTTATGCAGCAACAACGACGTCGAAAGTTTTCCCGCGCGCGAATTTTCGGGCGCGACCTGATATAATATTTTACAATAATATCTCACGCTGTTATTTTCTCGTACCTTGACGCCTGAGCTCTGAGCATGGCGGCGATGTTATTGCCGTGCGGTGGCAAGCTCGCCGTTGTCATTGCCAGGGAATGGGCTCTCAGCGACGACGACAGGGGCGTGTCGGCTCGACCCGATGGCACCTCGCCACCACCAGCTTGGCTGCTGCTGCCGCTCGTCTTGGATTTGTTGGGTTGTTGATGATCCTCCGGACTCTTGCTGGCGATCGAGGACGATAACAAACTCGTTGCGGATTTGCAGCGGTCCCGTCGCGCCATCGACGGCGGCAGCGACGACGAGCGCAGCAGTTCAGCCGCCCTGATGCGCTTCTGTATGTTTCTATGCGTCGTGTGTGTGTGTGTGTGTGTGTGTGTGTGTGTGTGTGTTGCATCAGCACACGGCGTCGTCCGAGGGAAACGAGAGGAAAAGAGTATTATGATCGATCGATCGATGTCGCGTGTGTCTATGTTGTTTTCGCTCGTCTCGTGTCACGCGCGCAACAAACAAGACAACGACACACATATGAAACGAGGAAAAATGATGAGTTCTCACTCTCTCACCTGAAGTACTCGTCCTCGAGCATACGATCGTACACGTCGCTACTGAGCAAGTGTCGCGGAACGGGTTTGGCGCGGAATCGCGTACTGGGCGATGATTTTTTCCCGCCACCGACGCCGCTCTCGCTGCCGATCGATCGGAGCTCGGGACTGGAGCGTGTCAGCGCTCGCATGGCTCGGCGATCGCACTCGAGCTTGAACGGGCGCACCTGAGACATGAGGTTGAGGGCGCATTCCTCGCGGATGAAGCGACTTCTGTCGGATAATTGTGCAAAAATCAATACGTACAAGTTTGACTGATCGAAAACGGTATAACGAGTTGTTTTTTGTTTCGAATCGTACCTCGCTGCCTTTTCCGCGCAGAGCTTATCGTACATGGGTATTTTCGAGGTTAACGGTATCCGTCGAATGCGTCGTTTTTTCGCCGGGCTCTTGCGACTCAATCTGCTCGGCGACGACCAGAAATCGTTCTCCAATTGATGCTCCAATTGTGACATGTACTTTTCCGCGTCCTCTCTGGCACAGAAAACAATAGGCACAAAAACAACAATGAGAGCAAGCGCTATATAGTATATCAATTATAATTTTATCAATTGTCTTACTTGGCGGTGAAACTGAAGGGTTTGGGCACAGTCGGCTGCCATCGATCCGACGAGCTGCGAGGTGGCAAACTCTTGGTCTCGGCCTCGCTATCCGGACTCTCGTCGCTCTTGCCCAATAGAATTTTCTCGTTTCTGCGCTGCTTGGCTGACTTTTCGCGTTCCTTGCCTCTCGTGCTGTGCGCAGAGACAAACAATAGGCAGAATATATAGATCTCTGTTTCTTAGTTATTATTATATATAATAATGCGATGCGCGAGAGCGACAAAAGAGAAGCGGCAGCTTCTCTCTGTTTTAAAGCTGATGGAGGGTAGTAGGGGGTAGTGGTGGCGGTGTCACGTACCCGTGCGTGAGACAATCTGCCTCGTCCTCGAGACAATCGATCCTGGCTGAAGAGAGCAGCAGAGACGGCATGCTATTATTGTGATGACTAGTCGGCGACTCTTCAAAATTGCAGCGTCTACCTTTTAGACTGAGCTCGTTGATGCTGTTGGTGCTGCTGATATTGTTGTTGTTGGGAGATTTCACGCTGGGGCAGCGCGATCTCACGCTGGCCGTTGATAAACGGTCTAAATTAGTTGCAGACGCCGTCGCTGCCGCCGTTGCCTCGTCTTGCTCCAGACAGTTGCGTAAATTTTTCAGCAATATACGCTGCTTTCGCTTGAGATAATCGAGTTTTTGCTTGAACTGCTCGTTCGATAATTGTTGCACTTCCTCGTGATCCGGCAAATTTTCGTAAAAGTCCGCCAGCTCGTCTCGGGCGCTGCTGGAGAAAAGTTTAATAATCGTGTACTTAGAGCCAAGAATATACAAGTTCGTGCGAGGATATTTCCGTGAACGTTTTTTTTTTTATTAAAAGCGCAATGAATCTCAATTTTTCAAATTATAATGCGGATGAGCGATTAATTACGGGATTAATTATTAATTTGATCAATTACGCGATTGAACGTGCGCAGCAGAGTTTATGAACGATTCGTTTCCTACCTTACCGATCAAGTTGCTTCATTAAGGCGTAAGATCGAACAATTGATTTTAGCCATCCGACGTTCTCTTGTCAACAAAACTTAAGCGCTCATTCATCAATTCCGCACCTGTACACGACGATCTCGTGCACGAGAGTCTCTTGAACTCTGTATAAACTTAATTGCTTGCCGATCTCGAACTTGCACTACTACTACTCTTGCACGCACCGGAAAAAACAAATGAAAAAATAACAAAAAATAACAAAAGAGCGTCGTCGCCCCGCTGCTGCAACTACCACAACGCCTTACCTCAAAGTCGGCGAGTGGCAAACACTGTCCGACGACTGCTGATTCCGCCGCGTTTTTGGCCTCTCGTAAAAAGGGGTGGGCTGACGGCTGAACGGATCCCTCGGCACTTTTACGCACGAGTGCGTGAACGCCGTGCCCTTGTGACTCTGCTGATGATACTCACCCATTCTCGCGGCAAAAACTATACGCGTGTATACAGTAGTTGTATTAATTTGCCTTCGTCTGCAGGCGCAACGCAACGCACAACAATACGGTGGTGGCAACGACGCCGATATTACACACGCATTTATTATATCGGAGGGTAGGCTAGTGTACACAAACACAGAAAAGTGTGTACACGGGTAACTATGGAGACATAAGCGCGCGCCTCAAGGCAGTAAAATAAAGAGCGCCGCGGAGCCGATTCGGTTCTCCCTCCCCCGTGCACGCGCTTGCAGCTTTGGCATGTTAGGCAGTTGTGTGCAGGTACCCACTATCTGCCTGTTATACACCTTTGTGCCGATTATAGCCAATAGCGCGACGCGCGCGCCTCGGCACACTAACGCGCGAACGCACGAATCGTTTGTTGTTATTGCATCGGGTTGACTTTTGTTACTGTGTGCATACAAATCTCTCTGCTTTTAATGAAAATCTAACAATCGTTTATTCGTCAACTGGTGTATAAATATAAATATTTTTATATGTATGAATGTATATCGAAGATTTATGTATGTACAAATAAAATAGGAAAATATATAATATAATATAATATTTTACATCAGGTCGCGAGGTTATTATTTTTATTGCTTTTCACGCTGCCGTTGCTAGTCCGATTGATTATCAAGCTGGTGTAGCGAGACATCCTGGAGACCAGCGATGACCTTTTGGAAGACCTCGTTTCGTTGGAGGCATTGCTCGAGGCTCGCTCTGTATATTACAAGAAAATAAATGTAATAAAAAAGTCAATAACCTGCCGGGAAACGAAAAATAAAGTCATCTCTCAGTAGTGCTCTCACCAAAATTCGAGGCTCGATCTCGCTTCACCAGGCTACGCAAAAATTTCATCAGGACGATGCGCAGCTCGTAGCTGAACGTGAGATAGATCCAAGGATTGACGCAGCTCGTCAAGCTGCTCAGCAGCGATAGTATCGTGAACGTCGGGCCTGAGCAACAAAGCCACAAATGAAATATATACCGTTTATATATTATGTGGGTTCGCATGGTGGGTAGGTAATATCGAACGCTTCCTCTCGCTGTATTGTTTTTGCGCGCGAGATTAAAACTTGGAAAATTAAACGTACGCAGGTACGGAGGCGCGTAAATCTCGGGTAATAAAGCTCGCTCGTGAAAGCGTTAATGGACTTTGCCAAAGCGCCGTAAAAAACGACAATAATTTATTCTCTTCTAAGATTTCTCACTCTCTCATACCTTTGAAGAAAGCTGATTCAGCCGCGTATGGATCCCAGGCGGACCAGAGCTGACCTCCGATGAACGGCATACTCGAGGCCGCGTAGAGTATCACCACCGCCAGCGTCTGCTTGATCGTGTTGATCTTCGCCTTGGAGATGAGCGAGCCCTGATTCCTGGCCCTGATCTGCGGCTGCAGGGCCTGCTGAGACTCGAGCATCGCCACCTCGCGGTTGTGCCATATGCTCAGGCAAATCTCGACATAAGTGAATGTCAGCACGCTAAATGGCAGCAGGAAAATCATAATGCTAAACCTGTGAAAATTCATATACATAAAGTGAAAATTTCAGTGTAACGTTTATGCATGTTCGCGCTGTGTCTTTGTGTTAGATGTCACGCGAGTAAATTTGCGTCGAACAATTGATCGCGAAATTGTGCTGTTATCGCATTGTTACGTTTTATTATTATTAACCCGAAACATTTAAAATTACAACACAGCTCGACTATTATAATAATTTTAAACGTCAAACCGGATTATACGAGCTTTTGGACTTTTGGAGTTACTTGGCTGGAATGTTGCATATTATACTGTTTATACTTTTAATGGCATCGGGGCTACGTGCGTTGAGCGAAATGAAGGAATATTACGCGGGATATTCCCCAAGCGAGCGTCGCGTATACGCAAATGCGTGAACGAGTGACAAGATTAATTACATTATGATAAATCTAGCCCTCGCGCATATGCATGTATGGAAAATATATGAAAAGTGCACGAGCTTATTATGACTCGATGCACCAATTTTTTTTTAACACTGAAAGTTTGCATTTGTGTCTGCGGCTCGTATCAATTTTATTTGCGGCATTCTTGATTAATACGTATTTCGTGCAATGTATTCATTTTTTAAAATATTATTTATTATTTATATATTGCCCCCGATAATATGTATTGCATGCGATAACGAAAATTTTTTTAAAAACTAACCAAGTGACGTAGGCCTTTTTTGCGTAAGGCAGGTCAAAAGTAGCCCAACAATCCCAGATGCCCGGGGCGATCTCTTGAATCGAGAAGATAAAAATTTGCGGCAGACACAGCAGCAACGACAGTATCCAGGCCGTGTAGACGGTAATTCTCGATCTGCGCGAGGTCGTACGGCAGTAGCTCAGGGGATAACAAATGGCGTGGTACCTGTCGGCCGCCGTCGCCATGAGCACGTAGGAGCTCAGGTAGGAGCCCAGCGGCTGGCCGAATTTCACCAGCTTGCATAATATCTCGCCTCCATGAAACCTGCACGGGCCATTTGCTTTATTATTAATCGAGCGTTAAAACGAGAGAAGAAGGAGAAGGAGTAGGAAGAAAAAAAGCACACAGACCTAAAAGTGATGTCCCAAGCCAGCTGAGGGAGGACGTTGAGCAGGCCCGTGATGAGGTCGGCGATGCTCAGGTGCATGACGAAGAAGTGCATCCTCGTGAGTCTCTGACGTCTGCCGCGGCAGCGTCGCAGATAAATGGCAAAGAGCACGAGGGAATTGCCCATGAGGGTTACCAGAAATATTAGCGACAGCACGAGCAGCTCCACTTTGACCAGGTCGTTGTCCCGCTCGTCCTCTTCGATCCCCGACTCCACTCCGCTCATTGTATCGTTCCTAGTGTTTTCCATTGTGCTTGTGCTGCAGCCGCTCTCTCGCTCACTCTCTCTCGCCTCTATACCCGAACGTTTATTTCCTCATCTAAGTTGTTTAATTAGTTCTGGATTGTCGCTCGCTTGATTCACAATTACTTCTGGAATTTTGTCAATTTTCATTGCGTTGCAGATTGTGTTCTCAGCTTAGCTCGCTCCTCTGGCAACAGAGAGCTGTGGAGCTGATTTATGATACCTCGATCGCTGGCGCGCGCTTCTTCTTTGATCGTAGCAGGGGCTGAAATTTCGGGCAGAGAGAAAGATGCACATGAGTGTGTGTTATGCGTGTGTGTATGTATAATATACCTCTATGCGCCTCGGCCCTCGCAGGGCGCTTGATTGCATCAAAAGCCATTACATGATGGATTACGAATTTTGACGAATTGCCAATGGTAATTAGGTTTTCGGCTACTAACGGCTATACGCGCGCGGAGCCAATACTTGATAATATTTCATCTCTCGGGGCGCGCGCGTACCGATCTATCTCATGACTCAATGTCGCGTGCACTTTTGGGGCAAAATAACACACAGCGATTGTTTAATTTTAGAATAAAGAGAGAGGAGATAAAAGGAAGAATGCGAGATGCACTTGGTTTCTCGCGCGTGTACCGTTGTCTGTTTAACATGCTCGCAGAGAAAAAGGTGTGGAAGTGTGTATGCATATAATCTCTCTCTCTCCTCTCTCCTCTGCCTCTCTCTTTCTCTTGATCTCGCGATGATGAGAAAGCGCTTCTAATGAGAATAAAAACAAAAAATCAAAAAAATGTATAAAAGCGAACGTACCAGATAGAGAGAGTGAGCGAGAGAGAAAGAGAAAGAGATAGAGCAAAAATTGAAACGAGAGAAAGAGGAAGAACCGATATGCATTGGGGGATTGCTATCTTGGCGTTGTGCGTTGTGTTGCATTTGATTAATATTCGCGGGTTCGACTTTAATGCGTGTAAAATATTACATATCGGCGGCAGCGGCAGCAGCAGCAGCAGCAGCATCACCTCATCTTCCTTTTATTATTTTCTCGTATATGTCGAGGCATTATATACATACACACGCATCATCGTCGTCATCTCATCGTGTAGCTGTATACATTTTATATAATAATAATAACATATAGATATAGCGAGCACGCCGCGGCTCGTGGCTCAGCGAGCAAGCGAGAGAGACGAAGCTGCTCGCTACAAAATCTATCCCGGCGACTGTTGAACTCTCTGCGTATATATAATAAGTACGCGCGCCATCACAATGTACAATAACAATAACAATAGAAGAGAGAAATTTATTAAAGTTGCGGAGGTAATATTTAAGCTCTAATCGCGAATTTATTGACGTTTTTACTAATAAGAGGTTATCGCTGTAATTATTCGCTCGAGATAATTCACTTGTGCCTTCATTGCAATTTTTATTCATTGTTGTTTGTATATATGGGGATTTTTTATCTGCCCCGATAATTCATATCCGAATGAAACAATATATGCAAAGCCGATCAATCATTCGCTTTGCGCAAATCACTCACTCAATGGAAGACGTAGTAAAGAAAGTTTGCTTGTAACTTTTTTCTATATAGTAATAGACTCGCGGATTGCCGGTTGTCTACGAGAAGAACATTAATTTATATTTCTTTTATCTGCGCTTCGAATTTTTTGTCGTCGCGAGCACGTTCACCGTGGAAATTATTCACAATTAAACTATTTTCGGATAATTAAATTTTTTTCGCTTTGCTCAGATTCTAAGTATTAACAAGATTATCCGTTTTTTTTTACATTTAAACGTTTCAGACTTCGTGAAATGAAGAACTTACTTTTTGTAGCGATCGATTAGCACGTTGAGCTTATTAAATCGAGCATACATGAGGCGTTTTTGTCTTCTTCGAGACATCAGTTCGTAAAAAAATTGGCCGTCATCGTAAAAACAATTCTTTACCATATTGGGAGAAATCAGAAGAATTTTCTTCGATGAGCACGTCGTCGTGTTTTTTTGCGCCCCCCGAGCGATGAAAAATAAAAACATTAAAAACTTTTTCGAGTCGCGCTTATGAATAATTTTTCAATGCTTCGTGCGCGCGCTCCGTGTACGTCTTCTTTACGCAATAATAAAAATCAGACGGAATGTCACTCGAGGAAATTGATGAAAGACTCGCGCGCTCAATGCGGACGGGGGTCGTCGCGATCAGCAGCTCGACAAATAGCCTACAAACGAGTCGGACGGCGACGAAAATTTCCCGCAGACACGAGATTTTGGAACGTCGAAAAAGAGCTGCACTGCACCGTGCGACTCTCTCCGTGTGTACACACGGCGTAGCCTTACAAAGTAGTGTGCAAAACTTTAACGCCCAAGCGTATATACTTACCAGCTTTGATGGATGTACTGCACTGCCACTACTCTCGAATCAACAGGTGAAAACGGCGGATCTTTCAGTCAATTTTCTCCAATTGCTTTATTCCGTGTCCCTTGCTCCCCTATCGTTCTAATCGTGTATCGAGCATTATCTACCCTTGCCTTAAACTCGAAAGCCTGAAATTCTCGCCTCTTTTGTAGAGCAAAAATCTCGTAGATACATAACACGCGCACACTCTTATGCACTATAAAACACAACTCGAGAGCGAGAAGACAAACAAAACAATCATAGGCCAACTTTTTCCACTTCGTAACTCACTCGATCACCTCGCTCCGTCTCACGGTCATTTCATGATAAATAACGAGCTTTTCTTCGGTGCATATGTGATATATAAATTTGTCGACGCTTGGATCTCGTCTAATCCTTCCGTGCGCGGGCAGCACACTCCGCGCGACAATACCGCACACACGACCCAACCGACTGTGTGCGGTGCTATGTGTCAGGGCTCGCCGATCACTATAAACTAGTTTTCCTCGCGCTTTGCAGATGTACACACACGTGCATAGCCGCACACATACACTCGCACACGCGCTCTCTCTCTCTCTCTCTCTCTCTCTCTTTCTCACTCTCTTGACGAGCAGAGCGCGCGCGATCGTATTTGCATGATCGGTCGTATACGCGCGCGCGCGCGCCACATCAACGGTGGATCGACTCGTCGCCGTCGTCGTCGCCGTCTTCGTCTTCGTCTTCGTCGTCGGGCTTGCATTACCCACACTCATACTTATGCACAACATGACATGGCCCAACGCAGTCGTCGCTGCTACGGCACACGCTCCCTTCCAACTGTTATAACTGCGCTTGTGTATAAGTGTGTATGAGAGTATGCGTGTATGCGAAGGAGTGAGGGATGGAAGGGTTGCTGCTCTGCGGTACACGAGTGTGTATACGCGCGGCACGCGATATCGTAACACGTGAACGCAAGGAGGGTACATACAACCAAAAGTCGGCCACTGAAGCTATTATACGCAAGCCTGTGTATGTATGCGTGTGTGTGCACGAATGCATTATATGCATGTTGTGATTGTATGTACATAACATATACACAACGATGACTAGAGCAAACGTGAGCGCTGCAACGAAAGAAGTATACATACACGGAAATTGCAATTGTTACGAGATAGGCGAAACGACCTCTTTTTTTCTTTCTTTTCTACGATGCATAATATTTTCGTATGCGATTTTGAGCCAAACTTATTGCTACCGCAGAGCCGCGCTGCAATATTAACGAATTTATTTGCGCTCTTTCCAATGCATAGAGGAATCGTATCGTTTCAGTCGCGTGATGAAAAAAATACTGCATTTAGTGCGATCTTGATTCTTAATGCAATTTAAGTATGTATACCGACTAATGGATCTGATCAATACCCGATGTATGCATGTATTCTAATCAGGCGCCCGGGCGACTGGAATAGGTGTCCTAAGGTTTGATCGATCATAAACGAGCGTATGCTACTGCTGCGGCAGATTTAAATAAGCTCGAAGAGAACGAGACCGTAAATCGATAAGCGTCTATTCTCGGATGCGATATATTTCGCTGCGAGCAGATCGTAATGTAGCCGCGAGAAATTTATACGATATATCGACGCTTCTTGACTATTAGCATTATGACTAGTAGTGTGCGATTATCAATCAATTGTCGCACGACGTGTCGTGTGTTTTACTATCTGCAGCACACCGCGCGCGAACCTTCTTCGTCTTTTTTTACTTGGACGCGGTTATTAACGAGGCGTACGTATAGAGAGACAGAAAGAAGACTCGAGGCGATGCTAGCGCATGCTAGAGCTCGTAACGTTGCATTAAGCGCGTTTTTTTCGCATGGCTAAGTAGTCTAATTTCATAGGCATAAAACTGACCCGTATGGGTCATGAAAACTATGATGCACAGTTTATAGAGTTGACGTTACGCAAGACGACTGCGTGTTTTGTTTTACGCTGTGTATATATACGACGATATGTGTGTGTGTGTAAGCGAATATACGCGAGAGCGTGGAAAATATGATTTAGAGCTAGCCGTTGTTTTTTTGTGCTATCGACGCAAATAAGCCCCCCCGTGATTCGGTATCGTTTACAATATAATGCACGCGGCATATAATGCAAGACGAGGATTCCCTGACGTTGGATTTAATACGCGAGAGGTACAACAAAAAAAATTTCAAATATAATCAGCGTGTGTAGAGGAATACACGTGCTGCGCTGTGCGCGTTACACACAATATACTGCACACATCTAGGCGATAAACGTGCATACATGTCATCGTCGTCGTCGTTGGCATTATACGCTTCGCGCTTGATGATAGCCGAAGCGCGCTCATATGACAGAGCCAATGTTAATGTCAATGCTGCAATGCGCATCGTAATGCGCATACGTTTATATGCACCTGTGTGCGATATTGATTGATTATGCGCTATCGCCGTGACGTTTAGGTAAGAAAATAAATTGACAAGACTGCATGTAGATACATTCGAGAATCGTCGCTTGTTATTATTATTAGTTGGATAATTATTATTTGCGATAGTATTAACAGGAAGTAAACGACGAGGGTACTGGTAATAGGAGGAAATTTTTTTTTCATATTTCTTTGGTATACCTCGATCGGTAAAGTGCATCAACGCTTGGCTGTTATTTCGAAGGTATCGAGAAGTGACGCGTGAGGTCGGTACTGGTACTCGTGGTATTTTCGTATAAATTGTATACACACACACACGCACGAGCGAGAAAAAATATTCAGGGAAATGTGTCGTGAATATCATACGAATTATGCGAGATGATGGACCTCGTTGTAGACGTTGAAAAAAGAGCGACCCCAAAAAAATATGCAATAACGAGATACGACAAAAAAGTGCAAGCTTGTTGCCGCCGACACGAGAGATGATTTGAGTATTCAAATGAGCTTACGGCAATTATTACCGAGCAAAAAAGCGGATACATAGCTAAGTCGAACAATACGTTGATTTTATCTTTCCATCGAGAAATCGAGCAATCAATAAATTTATTTCAACACTGCGTGCGCAAGTAGCATACGCGTTGAAATGTTCAAACTTTTTTTCATTTGTGCTACTGATTTACGTTATAAGAAAGAACACATCGCCCATAGAACGCACGTAACAAAGTATTCTTCTCCCCCATTCAATTTTTTTTCTCTCTTTATTATTCCGAGTCGTATATAAATCAACACGGGGAAAAAAGAAAATAACAAGAGTAAGGCAAACGCCTCGTCCATGAGACAAAGCAATACGACTGTATGATATACGTAGGCAACGATCAAAGATCAAAAAGATGCATCAAAGTAAAAGAGAAAGAAATAGCTCGGGCGAATATGCTGTGTTAGTCTTCCACTCGAAATGCACGAGGATCGCTTTATCGCGGTCGCAGTCTTTTCACCATAGGCCAATTGAAAGTTCTTACATTTGTGTATTATTCATGTACTGCGCGCTCTCTCCTCCGATCTTATACTTTTTTTCTGCTGTCTTATTTGATTCGACTTTTTCGCATAATTTTAAATTATACTTTCCTTCTGAATCGAAATATTTCTTCCATTTATTTCCTGTGTCTCGAGCTATGCACTTCGCAGCTTGCACAGTTCAAGCGGCATTCAAAATCCAAAAAGTAAAAAGTACATTGCAATAGAAAATTGCATACAGTGTTAAGTTTATTATAAAGACGCGATCTGTGAAGAAATTAATGTCTCGATTAAGACGAAGAGATTGGCCAGCAGTAGCAAAAGCAAGCAAGGAGAAGCAGAAGAAGAAGTAGAGGAAGAAGAAGAAGAGTTCAGTGAAACAGAAGTTACGAGCACGTAGCGGAAAAGCTCGGAGCGCGAAGGAGCTTTTACGATCGCTGCTCGCGCCTGCGAGAACGAGACTAATCTAAGCACGCTTCAGCGTTCTCTTCTCGCGCTTTTTCACCTTTCTGGGTCTATTTCTTTTGCTACTAGCTTTATCATCCCTCGTTTTAATCGCTTTTATACCCCCTTCGCTGCCATGTACGTCATATCTGCACCCCGCACACCCCCTCCCTCCCACACTTGGATATATAACTCGCGGCACTGTTGTTGGGTAATAAAGATGGAATGAGATTTTCTTTCTCCAGGCCTTTCATCAGGATATGCCGGAGACTTTTTTATATACGTGTATAGAGAAATTCTATCCTTGATAATATTGCTTGATTACGTTTTTATGTCATTTTTATTTTGTTTCTAATAATAGACCATGATTGACTTTAATGGTTTACGATCAATTTACCCATTCCGTGTGCTGATAAGTATTCTGAATCGAAGTTTGAAAAAAAATTTATAATAATAATATTTGTGCGCGAAAAATATTTTGCAAGTTCATTATATACGATTATTGCTTTCATCGATTTTACGACTGAATAAAATGTCCGCTAAGGTCCGATAAAAGAGCGGTAAATATTTTTAACAGGAAAATTTTCAGAAACAAAATGCTATCAACTTTATTACACGCCCGCACTCTTGGCGTAAAATATTTCTATAAATGTGTGGAGATAACGATGTATGGGATTGCATGTTTTTCATTCCTTGCTTTTGCGATATTTTTACTCCATTCAATCGTAAAACATCCTTGTATTTGGAGGCAAATATTTGCTCTTATGTAATTTTACCAGTTGAAAAATTTTTCTTGAGTGTCGAAACAATGTCTTAAACAAATGTAAAGCTTAAATTGTTTTTGCCAAAGAAAGAGTTGATTTGTTCCTTAGTAAAACTTTTGACATAACTAAAGGCAGAGATCAATTAATATTTATTATTTAGATAGTCACGAATTGCCTTGGTTAAAACATATTTATAATGCATCACTTGCCCGTGAAACACAACGAAGATTGACGTGGGGATCGGCATTGAAAAGAGAAAGAGAGCCTCTACATTAGATCAATGTATTACATTGAGGATAGTCGACGCGGAGGTTCTCTCTCGCGGCTTTCGGGCGCGCAAACTTTGTCCGCCATGCGAGTGTATATACGCGCTTATTAATATGCCAAGCGACGTTGGTTGTGTATACCTATGCAAAGAGAGAACGGCGAGATAGATTGTTATATGCTTTGTTTTATCTATCTCTCTCCCTATTCTCCTAAATGTTGTGGAGAATAGACGATAGTTTTAGAAGTTAGTATACTCTGGCGGGGCTCCCCTTACTATATGTTTTGCGTATAGAATCTGCCGTGGCTGCTTCTGCTACTGTTGCAGCAGCAGCTAGCTATTACGTAATAAACTTATCTCAAACTACAGATAGAAATAATGACCCGACTGGTGAATCGGACGTATTACCAGTGATAATTAACGTTCGTTTCTACGGGAGAGAGAAAATATATATCCTGAAATTGATCGCATGCAAGACGCAGCCACCGCCGCAACGGCAGCAGCATATGCAGCAGCGAAAAGTTGTCGGCTTCTATTACCGCGACGTGCTGAATTTGGTGGCGGACAGTTGCCGCTTCTGGGCTTTTTATATATTAATAGCGCACATCTTTGGGCGCT